TTAAGCCTCTGAGCCCTTTATTCGAACCTGTTAGTGCTGCAGCACCATCAGTACAAACCGCAAACATTTTGCCCAGGTAAGGGACTTTGTTTCAAAATATTCATTTATTACTTTCGAATATTTTTTATTTTTCTCCAGTTGTTTTTCCTTCCAAACTTTTGCAATAAAAAGTTTCTGTTATATCTTCATTAAAAATAAACCTAATAAAATTTAGTTGTGACATTTTAGTAATATCGGTATCTCGTCCATTGTAAAGCAAGTACAGATGAATTTGTATGCGTTTTAGACTTCGACTCGAATTCATGCATTTCAGGAAACACTTTACAGTAAACGGAGAATTACCGCGAACAAGGCGCTATCTACCGAGTGAAAAAAACTTGTGTCTTCACACTTTACATACATTACGATTACGTCAAAGAAAGAGCGGACGCATGAAATTGCAATTAACAGTGAGTGACGGCGCTTCACTCTTTATAGTACACGTATGTATGCAGCATGCAGCAAACGCATTTCATAAATTTGGCGACCCCCAAAAAACTTCTGGCGACCCTAGTTCGCGCATCACTGATTAGGTAACATGTAATATAACTATATTCGCTCTAAAATACGTGATTATTCTATTCAATTTTTAAGTAATTATCTTTATTTTTATGTATTCGTATAAGTAATGATGCTTCTTCCCGTAAATTATTTATTATTATAAATAATATTCTAAATTTCAGGAACTTCTCTGGCATAATCTTGAAATTAATTCTGCAGTAGGATGACATCACGAAATTTATGACATATTTGTTTCTTAGTATGCTGCGAATAAATGTAAAATACCTCAAATTTATTAAAAAGATTTTCTTTTTCGTTAGCTGCAGAATGTCTGCAAAAAAACCTTATTATTCCAGATTGGGAAGATGCAAATCTCAATCTTCAATGGAGAAAACAACAACTGTTATAATTATATTTGTGTTTTCAAGTGTTAAGGCTTTTTAGAACATACCCACACAAATTAATTACCTAAATCGAACCTAACTATTTAGCATTTTGTGATTGATAAGGACCGGATTAGCCTCGTGTGAAACTGGTGATGATCATGAGTAATAATTAAATAAAACATACATTTGTTATCCAATGTATTTCTTTAAATTTTATTAAGTTTCTTAAGGAAAAGTAAACAAAATTATCAAACAAAGTATACCAAGAATAATTAAGAATAAATGTTCTCTGGGATTTATTGAATAATTAAGTGAATTTGCTACACAATAAAGTAATACCATAATTTACATCTTAGCGTAGCCAACGTACATTACGCGGATAGACTAGAAGTTTCTTGAAACGCACCTGGAAAAGTCAGTGAATTTCATTCTCCTGTTTGAGTGGCAACCCTGGAGAAAGTTAACTCAGAAATATCTCCATCTAACGCTGAACGCTATCTAACGCTGAACGCTATCTAACGCTGAACGCATCTAACGCTGTACTAACAATTGGCAACAATAACAACTTATATACATAAATAATGTAATAAAAACAGTGTGGTATAATAAGATTATTACTTTGAAACCGATGTTTCGAATTGATGCCCAAGAAGAACCAATATTTCCCATTCTCCTTCATTGCAAATCTTCAAAAAAGTAAAAAAGCACCATTTATTTCGTATCATTTTTTAAATGCGAAACGTTTGTTTTAACTTGAAAAGTCGAAGTTTGTAACTATAATTAGATAGAATGTTAAATTAATGGCATCAAAAGTCTAAAATATGAACGATTCAAAGATTCTCCCAAAATACTTTAAAAAAATTACATAAAAGGGCATTAATGGGGTCTTTCACAGGGTTAGGGCAAACTAATATTCTGTGTCTCGTGATTTGTTATATGCCAAAAAATCGTTCAAATTAAATAGAAAAAAATCAAAAAAATCAAATGGGACACCACACCACAAGCAGGTATGGACAAAGTTTGAGTTCGATATCTTATCGGAAGCAGTTTAAACCATGACCATCTTTTAAAAATACGACAGCCCAAGATGTGAACTAAAAACAGTATAAATAATAATAATTCAAAAGCTGTTTTTCAGAACCATTACGAAAGTCAGGTACCAGTTGTAAAGTCCAGAGTACAAAATTAACACAGTAAAAACGTTACAATGTGTAAACAGGATTAGAAATCAGCCAATTCAGAGACGTGATTTCACAGAAGCTTAGGTGAAAGGGGAAGAAGACAGGGTCTCTAACGTCCTAAGACGAAACTCTTTCCTTTTGTCTCTTTTTCTCCCCTTGCTAACGGCAGCTGTGCGAAGGGCGTTGCATGTGAACGGCTTATGGAGAGGTGACAAGTTAGGAGAGTAGCCACAAAACTATGAGAGCACTAGTTTGATATTGAGACAAATCTCTAATGTTAGAAAAGATGACTAAAAGAGAAGGAATCGGTATAAACTTTCAAAATACCAACCTCATAATGTAAATCTTTAATGCTACTTGATAATTGCGTGGTTTATTTTATTCTAAACTGTTAACATATTCATGTTAGTAAAATGCGTACTACTAGGATCTATTTATTTTTAGGTTATACAAAAGTGAAATTGCTAATACATCTTCATTGAACTTATTTAGTTACCGTTTGCTCATAGGTCCTTAATTTTTTTAATTAATGGTCCTTAAAAGTACTTAATTTCCGTGTGCAGAAATGTGTACGAACCCTAATGCAGAATAGAAATAAAATTAATTATTAGAATGATTTCTACATTGTAAATTAGAATCATTTTCTACATTGTGAGGATTTTGTAAAGCCTTCTAATGATTCAAGTATTTGTTAAATTAATGAAAGATTTTCTTTCCAACTTTGTTTTTGGTTGATTAAAATTTGAAAAGGTCACGATTTTCACTATCAAATTTCAGGCCAACTTCTATCAGATAGGAAACTTGGATGGAAGATTTTGGATTTAGTTCATTGTTGACAAGCAAAACTTGATACTTCTGAAAGCATCTTAAGTTTTTTTTAACTTACCTAGCTGTAAGCTTTATTTTTTATGTGTCATCCCTATTAGCATGAACCATAATAGTCGGCTTCTTTTTTACTGTATTTTCAATTGCTACATGCATCATCTTAAACTAAATTTTTATCCCAGGATCATATTAAAAATAATAAATTTCAAATTAAAGTGTTAAATACAGAAAGCTGCCTAGAGTTTGGATAATTTTTACCTTGTTAACTAAGCATTAAATTAATGTTGTTACTGACGTTGATAAGATGGATAGGCCTGCTGATTCTTGCTAGCAGTTCTGTGTTTAGATGTAGTCCGAGATCGCCACATATATCAAGTCGATTCCAGTGCTTTGTTTTTGTTTGAGTTGGTGATGAAAACCTTTTCTCACACAAATACATAGAAGCAAATTAAATTATAATTTTTAAAGTACAGTTGCACTGTTCAGTATATTTCATTTTCATTGGTAGTGAGCTTAAAGGTGCCATATGTGTGGAGAAATGATGCAAGAAGCATCACAATCATAATCTCTCTTTTGTTACTAAAACTAAAGTGCAAATTCCTTAGATAGGGTAACCAGTAATCATTTTCACAAAATTTCTATATTCGAAGAAAAAGTGATAGATGATTGCCGTGTGTACTTTTCAATTCTGAGATTTTCAGCTGTAGTGTGGTATACTAGGCAGTTAATTTGAATTTTTCTTTCTTCTTTTTTGGAAGTCTGGGAGGACCACAAGGCCATGCTTCAAGAACCACTTGTGGTTTGCAGACCACAGTTTGAGAAATGCCAAGTTAAAGTATTTTAAATCAAAGAGCTATTATACCAATACTCGCACTAGAGCAGCAGCGAATCAAATGCATAGAATTTGCCAAAAATATTTGGGAAATGAATTCTGTAAAGAAATCATCCAAGTGATGTGTCTCAGGGTGTCACTGATGACCTCCTTTTCCCGAATTATGGATGTCCAATAAGCAGAGATCAGTATTTTTTCAAATCTGCAATAGAAACAGAGAAAGATTACAAAAAATAAACAGTTTACAAACCTGATCAAGAGCCTTTTCATTATAAAAAAATCTGTGAATTTAAATCACTGTTGAGATAAGTCTAGTATATTTCTGAATAACTTTTGTTTTTCAGCTTTGAGACGAGCAAGTATTGGTAACAGAAGCAGAGATAATTGTCCATTGAAAGCCACAGATGGTGGAAAAAATATTTCTTGTAAGTGCATGAATTTTGTATCATCTTTTCTTAGTTTTTTCGTAGTTTAACTGACCATTATCTGAAATTTATTTTAATAAAGACAAAATATATTTTTGTTTTTTGTGGAAAAAAAATTGGTTTGTCATTTCAGAAAAAGTCAGTTTTTGTGTCAAAATACCTGTATTAGAACAATGCTGTATATAAATCTAATGCATATCCTGAGTCGTGCTTTCGAGACATGAAAAACGCAATTTGAATTTCGTCAATCGACCCACTAGAACAGGAGATATAGAACTGTCCCATTTTTTTCTGTGCAGTGTACATCTGTTATGTAATTGTTCAGTTATGTACTTATTCTAACATATGCTCACTCGTCCAATTAGATAATGATGAGAATGGAACAAAAATTAATTAAACTGTTACAATCACTTTCTACCAAAATCATGTTTATTTTTTAAGAATACTTTTTTAATGACAGTAAATATTATTCTTTAGCATTGAGCTCTAATTAGAAATAAACCTTAATAGAGAAAATTTTTAATAAATTCGTTAAATTCACGAAACTTAATAAAGTTAGGAAAAGGAAACATGAAAGCAGTACTTTTAGTGCAGGTAGTAATCACCTCCCAAATCTATGATTTTCTGCCAACATTTTGGTAGTTTTTCAAAGCCTTTGGCCCAGAAACTTGGCGGCCATGAGTCCAAAAACGGATGAACCTCGTTTCGGACATCCTGTGCACAATGGAAGTTAGCACCAGCAAGATGTAGCTGCAGGTGTGAAGAAAGATAGAAGTCCAAAGGAGCGATGTCCAGGCTATATGGTGGGTGTGGCAAAAGATCCCATTCAAGTTCATACAGAGTCCACTCGATGAATGCAGACACATGTGGTCTTGCATTATCTTGATGGAACATCACCTTTTTGTGCTGGAACTCAGTTCGACATTTTCCCTTGATAGCAGCGTTAACATGATCTAGCATCCTTACTGTTGAGGTTTTTATCTTTTTCCAGATACTCTTTGTGGATAATACCATGGCAATCCCACCAGATACAAAGCATGAATACTTTACCATCCATTATTGATAAAAGATATCTTGATCAAGTAAAAACTGAGTTTTCTGTATATTACATAGATAATTTTAAAAAGTTATGGTTTGTGTATTAATAAAGTTTAGGGAGTAAAATGTTACCTAATATGATGCTTGCAGCTTTAATAATACCTCATTCACGTGCTACCTGTGAAAGAATGTTTTCAATTATTAAAAGGAATCAAACTAAATTTCAACCAAATTTAGGTACAAATACACCAAACGTATTTATTTGTCATTGAGAAAGTAAACATGCTGGCATGCTGAAGAACAATGTTAAGACTTTAAGCATGCTACTTACAGATCTTTAATTCATGATTTATAAATAAATTAGAAGTATTTTTGACAATGATTATGTGTGTTTTGTTTGTTTCCTTGTAAAATTGGAATTCAAAAACCGTATAAAGGTGCAGGGTTTATGAATTCTGAATTTTTCCTGTGATTACACTCCTCAAAAGTTAAATTGCAACAAAAAGAATGTGCGTATTGCCATGCAAATTGCAGGAGTGAGAGTTGTGTATATGCAAATGATAAAAGTTGTACACGCGTTGGATCATGTAGTACACATATGCGGGCTATAAAGGTAGTCACTTTCCCTTCTCATAAACAGCATCTGAGGGTTACTGAGCATTGGAGACTTTAGAAGAAGCATAGCACATTCCTCTAAGACATCGGCCAGCCCAATGCCATTAGTTAATGACTGTGGAACGTGACCTTATTATTGAACTCCATGAACTTGGTTTGTCGTTGCACACAATATCCACTCGTGTTGGGCACAACATGAGTACCATCCAATGTTGTGTCACAGGATGGATTCAGGAAAGTGTATGTGCATGTCGATGCGTGCAGGTGCACATCAGACCGCAGAGACTGGTATATTCAGCAGTCAACTATTGGGGACCCTTTCTCTACGTCATGTGGCATCTGAAGCCAGCTCCAGGAGCATGTGGATCTGTGTCCACCCAAACTATACGTTACAGATTGCATGAATTACACTTACGTTCACGGGTACTAGCCTCAGGGTTACCATTGACTGCTGATCCCAAGACTAGATGCCTGGTGTGGTGTCAACATGATAGGGCTTAGAACATTGAATTACATCGTTTTGTTCACGGTTGAATCTCGTTTCTGTCTGTGGAGGAATGATGGTCAGCGGTGACCCAGGAAACGCTACAAAACAGCCCATTTCGCCGAGCGTTCCACCGGTCCTGCACAGAGCATTATGGTTTAGGGTGGCATAATGTTTGATCACAAGATGCCCCTGGTAGACATTAACCACAGTTTGACAGTGGACGGCTACGTTACGCAAGTTGTGGAGCCTGTTGTTCTGTTCTGTTTGCAGGGCACTTGCAACCAGGACTAAAGAAAAAGAAGGGCTGGGTCAACCTTTTGAGGGGAATGACGCCGACGCGAACCCTGTTGTGAAGCAATGTGACGTCACTGGGTTCCTCACCTCGCCTACTGACCAGAGCTTCACAGTGCGAAAGATTAAATCTTTACTTCTTACTTTTATTTGAAAATTATAGTGAGTATACTTTTAAAATGAATTAGTATTTATAAGGTGTTTGTAACGGGAAAATGCTAAAAAAGATGGCTCTGTGCCACTGCTAGCTGTTGTAATACGAAAGAAACAAATGTGGTATTTCACCCTGATTAAACTTTTCTCTGAAACTTAGCTTTTATGGAACTTTTCTGTTGTTTACCTCCCCCCAAATGGTTACCTAGGTTTCATATAAATTAACATCTATATGAAACCTAACTAGATAGCAACCTTAACAATGCAAAAAGCTTCATTTAAAGGGGTAGTATTTCATTAACTTCAGTATAAATCCAAATAGATTTTACCTGAGTAATATAAGACTATGCAAAACAATTGGCATTTTTATGCCTTCTGCGTAGTTTCATTTCATTTATGGTTCTGCATCTTTTCTTATTTTTAAAATTCCCCAAAATGTTCTCATCTTTTCAGGCATTCTGCACCATGTTAAATTAACGAGGTGAGAGTTTATGTGCTGCCAACTAGTACCATTTTGCACTTGGGATCCTGTGTCAGGATCAATAACTTTGTGATTGATTAACTTACAGGTATTCATATCCAGTAGGTGTGAGTCATTTGCTGAAATATCTAAAAATCTAGGAGAAAAAGTTCCTAGATTGATGTTAATTCTTCCTGCTTATTCAGAGTAATATCATTGGCACAGCTATTCATGACATGATATAAACAGGCTATCACATTTGGTAACCCATTAACAGAAAAGTACTGATTTTATATTAGTGACTTGTTTATCCTAATTATTTATGTGCGAGTTGCCAGCAAGATGATATTAGAACTAAACAAAATTCATCTTTTGTTTCAGTCAGTTTGATAAAACACAAATGATGAAATCAGTACTGAATTGAAAATTATTAAAACTGAAAATCTGTGTATTAATTATGTTAAGAATTATGTGTATTTGTTTTTAAACTGATTTTATTTTCATTGCAGTGATTGATAGTTATGCAGTGAGGTTGGAAGAGATGTTGGCAGGTAAGTTAAATACCCCTTTATCGAAAAAATATAGTGGCTTCATTTTCATTTAATAGTAGTCTTTCCCCATATTTTCATTCTACACTTCAAATTATGCCAAAAGCGCCAAGTTTCATAAAAATCAGAGTACTTTTTAAAAATTAAGGTCTAAAAATTGTAGCTTCTCGATGTTTACTGAATATGATATATATTTATTAATAGCTCTTTTTACTTCCTTGTACGAAGTAAAAAGGAAGTATTGTAATCGTGAAAAGTTTCAGTCAGCAGATTTCAACGAAAATATCCATTTTGACCGCTATCGAATGCAATTTAACGATGTTTTTGCGTGATATCTGTACATAAGGACATAAAAGACTCGTTTCCTCCAAAAACTGATAAAACGGCATTAAAATTAATTCTGAAGAGAATTTTTCGTGGCGTCTGTACGAACGTATGTACATACGTATCTCGCATAACTAAAAAACGAGTAGCCTCAGAACGTTGAAATTTTGTGTATAGGACTGTTATAACATGTAGATGTGCACCTCGTATTTTGGTTGCAATCGGCCGCACCGTATATAAATATATTTATGTATATATCCACTCTGTTACTCGGCACAGTGATCTCAGTTTCTTTACTCTTATATGTTTGTAAATTGTACATTTTTTGCTTTAAAAATGATTGAATTATGTTGTTCTTATCTTCCGGTTAAGAGTTTTATGCCTTTCATAATTCTGGAAGCAATATTTGTACAATTATCAACAATTTAAAAGCTGTTTAAGTGCAGTTAAGTATTAAATAACATGGCGGACATATTTGTTTACATTTGAACAGAGAATTGTAGATTTGTTGCCAATCAGAGAGATTAAGCTTTGCAACAACAAAAATAACGCCTTCATTTATTGCGAATTTAATCATGTTTAATTCTTTTCTGGAATTTTTTGAGGAAATAAGTGTTTAAGATTTACTAATTTTTAATAATTACTAATTTATTTTTAATATTAGTAATTTTAATACAGATATTTTGAGCTTTTATGTATTTTTGTCTTGTGCGAAGTGAAAACTGAATTAATTGAATGAGAAATACTCAATCGTGGTGAAAAACTGTTTCTTTTTTGTTTTGTTGCTTGATTCTTTTTCATCGTTTAACTTTTATAGTATTTGAAAAGAAAATGTGGCAACGATTAGATAATTCTTTAAATGATATACATTGTGGCATTCTGAGTTATAATATGAATGAAATATAATACTGTTAAGTGAACCTTGTGCCAAAGTGTTGCTATGTTAAACAAATAGAGTGAATTTTAAAGAATGCCTTTATTCTATTGTGGTTTATGCGCTGTCGATGAAGTAGATTTAATTAAATCAATAAGTTTAAAACAAATGCGTATAATTTAATATTCTGTACGTTTAATTAAACATTGATTCCTTCTTTCATGAATAAAAATCTAGCTTCAATCCAAATAAAATTTGCTCCCTTTTTTCTGATTTGTTTTTTCCCTATTTTTAAACCTTTACTATAATTTCCATTTTATTTCCTCATAGTATTGGGCCGAACAGCTTTGACCACTAGTCCAATTTAGTTTGAATTACTGTCTAATTACGTCACAGCTGTATTGATTACAAAATGTTCAAGTAAAAAATTTTCCAAAGTTAAGACTAGCGATAATATGCTCCACGTCTGGGGTTTGGGCTATAACTTGACATTTAAATCATAACCTATAGGCCCCGTTCACAAGAGCAGATTCGAACGGTAGTGAAAACCGGTTCTTCCAACGTGTCCCATTCACATGGGAACAAACATTAACTGCCTCGCCAAATTGGAGGTAGAATTTGGTTGAATGTTCCTTACCTCTCGGGAGCAGAGCAATTGCGTGGATTTATCGAAAGAAATGCAAAAGGTTTCTCAGTTTGCATTTTAGTTACTGCTCGCTGGACTGTCAGCGAAACAATCGCGCTGATAGATGTCTCATCCCCCTCCAAAATTAGATAGAACTGTACAAGATACGGAATTATAGACAAATACAGACAAGGTTATTGATGCTAGGTATTCCAGAAATATCGTTCAAAATTAAAACTAAAGTAAGACAAGTGCATATCGCTTCAACGCGACAAGGGACTCTGTACCTTTCGAATGATTTTTTTTTTTTTTTTTTTTAAATTTAAGCATTTTCATCTACTTTTTGATGAATATATTAAATGGTTTGTGAGGGCAAAATAATTTAAGCTGAAAAAAGTTTTTGCTAGTATTTTTTTTAATTAAAATTTTTGAAGAAAAATTTTACAATTAAAATGTCTTTCTTCTCCTACAATTTTCAATGTCTCCCCCCAGTTATTTTATTGTATTTATTAGAGTGTTCTTAATAACTTCAAGGAATGATTTTGCAATTAATGAATTACTTTCTGAGGGGGAAAAATACTCTTTTATCTAAAATCTTTAAATCAAATATGATCTCAGTCACATTTTCATTTCAAATAATTTTTTTCCTTTCAGTATTTTGCAAAACCCATCCTTGTTTCTATAAAGTATATAATTTTAAATAAGCAGTAAAAATAATAAAACATTTAGCCCATACCTGTATATATTTTAGGACTTTATTAAAAAGGATTATTGAAAAAAAATGCAAAAGGTTTCTCAGTTTGCATTTCAGTTTAAAGAATACAAACTGTCTAAATAGACATTTAATTATTTCAAATCTTTAAAATTTTATTACTGAATTTCAGTACACACATTATATATAAATCAAACCTAGTGCTATTTATTCAATTGGTAAATATAACATAAATTAACAAACCTTTTTTTAAAACCTTATGTGGCCAGAAAAATTGCAAAAAACTCATAAAAACGCAAGCAGAATTTTCTTTACCTGTTTTTGTTTTGTAAAACACGTTCAAAACAATTTAATACATTAATTAATTATAATATCGTTGCGTGCGTACGGGTTTGTAATAGATTGATAATAGTTCGTAAATGATTGTCATTTCACTCAAATCCGATGATAGCTTAATTAAATTTATTTTATCAACAGAAACACTTCAAAGTTCTAGAATTTTCCACAGAAATACTCGTACAAGTGTTTAGAATATCACTAAGTATAATCAGTAGTTATGCTTCAATCTAATAAGAGCGTTAAACACAACGGAATTCAAAATGCATTTTAAGAGAAACAGGGTTGCCACGCTAACTGGAAAACCGGGAAAAGTCAGGGAATTCGAAAATTGACCAAAAAATTCAGGGAATTTAAGTATTTTTGTCAAAATCTGGAAATGTCAGGGAAGTTCATACAATGATCCCGCCAAAAAAAGCGATTTTTGCGCCGACGTCAGAAGAGATAACTTTTTTGGCGAATTGCCTATCACGTGAGTGTCATTCGGGCAGCTGGCATAGAGCCAATTTTTGCAGCTCCAATTTGATTGTCTTTTAGAACGGCAAAGCAAGTTTCCCGCACTTTGGTTTCCAGTTTCTCGAGAATCGCATGTGCAGTGAATGAACTAAAGAAAGTACCTGTTCTCGTATAAAACAAATGGTTTAATCTTAGATACGGTACCATGGAGGTTAGAATCAAAGAATTGTATTGTAAAGAGGAAAACCCTCTGCAACAGACGTGGCTCCGTTCCATCATAGAGGGGAAACAGCTGTGCATGCATGATATATCTGCCGCCAAAGCTGGAAACCGGTGTCGAAGTTCGAAGGTCATGTTATCAAGAGTTCATTAAATGAATATCCTTTAAAATTTCTTCAACCACTTGCGCTAAAAAGACGTGCCATGCACGTCGAGATGTTTTCGTCTCAAACTGCGAGCGACGTGAACACCACGTCGATAAGCATTTATTGCAAAAATGAAAATAATATGGTGCACACGTCGCCTAACAACGAGATTGTTTATTTGTCGAGTTACAGCTCTGGATTACCCTCACAGATGCGGAGCGGCGTAAATGAGACACTTTACCGCTTGCTATATTGTAGCGCACGGGACTGCAACCGTGAAGTTTAGTCTTAGCGCAAGTAGTTAAAATCTAAAGAAAAAGAAAATATTTTTTGGCGCAAGTAAATTAATTCATGGGTTAGTAATTTTCAGGGGGGGGGGGAAACTATGAAAATCTGTTTTTAAAATTATTGCGAAAAATCCAAGAAGAAACGTCCTTTGGTAAAACGTTTCTTCGTGGATTTTTCGCAATAATTTAAAAACGGATTTTTGTAGCTTTTTGTTTTGTCAAAGAACGTTTCTTCTTAAAACGTTTCTCAATTTCCGATACACATTGCGGGGAGCGAAATTCTGGCCGCCAGGTTCCATCGCCAAATCCCTTGGCAAATATTCCCTCCTCATTCTAGCAGCGTAATAGCATTTTACTTGTATGGAAAAATTCTTTTACATAGACCAAAGAATTAAGAGATTCTTTGCATAGACGTTTTTTGGTTAAAATAATCTCCATGTATGGATTTGGCCACATGATGATGCACAGTTAACGGGTCATTTTGGTCTTGGCAACAATTTTCAAAATTGTGCCAAAGCCTTACCGTATACTAGAATTTTACTGCAAAATCTTTTTAAACTTTTCGTTTTTAATAAATACCTTGCCATTTTGCAGTAAAATAAAAAATAGTAATCTGTCATCTAGGTAACCATGTAATATAGCTATATTCGCTCTAAAATATCGTTGATTATTCTAATTCAATTTTTAAGTAATTATCTTTATTTTTATGTTATTCGTATAATTTAATGATGCTTCTTCCCTCTAAATTATTTAGTTATTAGTAAATAATATTTCTAAATTCAGGAAATTTTCTCTGGCATAATCTTGAAATTAATTCTAGCAGTATGATGACATACATCACGAAATTTAATGCACATATTTTTTCTTATGTATGTGCGAAATAAATATAAAAATACCTCAATTTATTAAAATAGATTTCTTTCTTTCGTTTAGCTGCAGAATGTCTGCAAAAAAAGCCTTATTTATTCAGATTGGGAAGATTCTAATCTCAATCTTCAATGGAGAAAACAACAACTATTATAATTATATTTGTGTTTTCAAGTGTTAAGGTGCTTTTTAAGAACATACCTCACACAAATTAAATTTACCTAAAATCTAACCTAACTATTTAGCATTGCGTTGGATTATAAGGACCGGATTAGCCTCGTGTTGAACTGGTGATGATCATGAGTAATAATTAAATAAAACATACATTTGTTATCCCAATGTATATATCTTAAATTTATTAAGTTTTAAGTGGAAATGTAAACAAAATTATCAAACAAAGTATACCAAGAATAATTAAGAATAAATGTCCTCTGGGATTATGATAATTAAGTGAATTTGCTACACAATACAAGTAATACCTATTTACTCTAGCGTAGCCAACGTACATTACGCGGAATAGATGGAATTTTCTTGAAAGCACCTGGAAAAACCTGGAAAGCAGGGAATTTCATTCTCCTGTTTGAGTGGCAACCCTGTTATTAAATTTATAAAAAATATTAATCAAAAGTTTAAAGATTTTTTACCCTAAGAGTAAATTTTTATCTTCACCATTTTATCATCTGCTATTTTACTTATCTTCATTTTATATGCTGTGAAATTTTGCAGTAACAGTGACAAAATTTACTAGAATATAAGATTTTTATCTTTTTTTCTGTGTGACAAAGGTAACAAGTAAAATTGATTTTGAAGATGTTTTATGTTTAAAGATATTTTGTGGCCTTTACTGCATAATAAATTTCTTAAAAACTGTAGTTTATATTTGGAAGGGCCCATGATTACATTCAAAGATTCTTTTTCAAAGCAAAACATATTTTTTGTAAACATAGGATTTATAATAAATACATTTTTAAAAGTAAAATTGAGATTATTTCGAAACCTTCCTTCTAATCATTAACAGTATAATAAATGATGGTTATTGTTACATTTATTTTCACATTATTATTATTTCTGTTATATTAGAATGTTAAAATTTATAAGGTTCTGTGGACATAGTGCTAATTTTATGTCAATCGAAATTCTAACACCTGAACTTCTACCTTTTCCGTCAACTCCAATTCTTTGTGCAAGGAAGTTCTTTATGGTTCTAGTGCAGTTTTAGTGCTTCCAGAATCTCACACAAGCCAAACCTCCTTAAAAAAACAAGTGGTAGAAATAAATCAACCCAATTATTGCTGCTTGTTTGCACCAAACTTTTCAGGCTGAAAAACCTAAATACCTGAAACATGTTCAGTATCTTCTTTCTTGCTCTTAGAGATGCTTAGAGGAGTCCTCATTCTTTTCTTGTACTCGGCAGAACAGTTCTTTCTTCTTGCAGTCATTTTATTTGAGCATCAAAATTTATTATATCAACTGTTAAACGTCTGTTGTTAATGCAATGTATTGAATACTGAAGATTCTAATTTGTCACTTCAAATATACATGTGTGTTGTGTCTAAATGTGATCATTTGGCAATAAAGTGCCAGTCTGGCTGTTGGATAACAAAGTGGCCATCTGACTGACAATCTTAACTAGGACTTATATTAGGAGTACCCTGAAAAGTTATTCTAGGTCTTTTTTTTTGAGGAAACACATTATATGTACTTAAATAAGAATCCTCCTCTCTGTCCCTGACCTGTATATTTATTCTTAAATTTGCTAAATTATCATAATGTATAAAATAATACACTATTGAAACACTAAATAAGCCACACATGTAATTACTATAGATACAAGCTCATAACTGCTGCTAATTGTAATATTTATGTTTATGGTATCTAACTTTAGAATAGGCATTTCAAAGCCAGTTTCCTTTCCTGCCTTGCCTCATAATCACGGTAATAATCAGCTGTGAAGGATGTTCAAGTCTCCTAACTTTTTCCTTCACTTTTGCAAAGTACATATAAGAAGGCTTATTCGAATTACATTTTCAATGAATTACACTTTCAAATGAAGTGGAGGAAATAAGTGTCATTCTATGATGACAACACCTGTTAAAATCACAAATGGAATCCTATTTTAAATAATGGACTGTAGCTGAATGGTTTCAGTTTAGCCCTGCTTCTACTATACTCAGGGAATTCAAAAATTGGCCAAAAAAGTCAGGAAATCTAAATATTTTGGTCAAAATCTGGAAAAGTCTGAATTTCGTACACCGATCCCAAAAAGAGCGATTTTTATACCCACGTTGGAAGTGATCACTTTCTTGGTGAATTATGTATCGTGTGAGCGTCATTCAGGCAACTGGCCTGAGCTGATTTTCACAGTTCCAATTAGATTGTCTTTTAGAAAGGCAAAGCAATTCCAGCAACTTTGGTGTCCGAAACCTCAATCGAGAGACTCGCATGCTCTTGCGCAGTGCATGTTGAAACGAGAGAAAATACCTTCCTATTTCCGTATAAAACAAATTGAATTGAATTGAATTGAATCCTAGTATACAGTACACATGGGATTTGGTGACATGATGATGAGCAGTAGATGAATCATTTTGGTGTTTGAGACAATTTTAAAAATTGTGCCAAAGCCATACCATATACTATGGTTTTACTACAAAATCTTTTAAATACTTATTTTCTTTTTAATAAATACCTTATTTGTGATTTTGCAGTAAAATAAACAAAAAACAGTAATCAATCATCTAAGCTAATATTTAATATAGCTATATTCGTCAAAATATCATTAATTATTATAATTCAGTTTTTTGTCTTTAAATAATTAACTTTATTTTAATGTTATTTGTATCAGTTAATGTTGTTTCTTCCTTATAAATTTATTTACTATTAGTTAACAATACTTTCAAATTTCAGGCAGTTTTCTTTGGCATACTCCTAAAACTAATTTCAGCTGTATGATCATCACGAAATTTGATGCACATTTTTTAAATTTTATTTTTTATTTTTATTTTTTTATGTGTGCTACTAAACAAATAGAAAATACCTGGATTTATTTTGAAATATCATTAAATAGATTTTTTTTCCCTTTAGCTGCAAAATATGTATTTTTTTTTTTTTTAAATCCAGATTGGGCAAATTCTAATCTCAATCTTCAGTGGAGTAAACAATTTGTATTATAGTTATAATAGTAATGCTTTGGAGATTATATATATATCATAAGTCATATATAAATGGCAAATTTTTGTGTTTTCAAGTGGTACCATAATTAATTTACCTCTCAGTATAGCCAATGCACACTGCACTGGTAGATTGGAATTTTCTTAAAACACACCTGGAAAATTCAGGAAATTTTATTCTCTTGTTTGAGTAGTAACTCCGTATACTGTTTGCTGCTTAAAAGCAAATAGATTCTGTGTTTCTCTTAACTTTTCCTAATTTTTCTTTCTTTGTCATAGTAAAATATCATGTTTCATTAGGAAGGTTGACTCATGCTCTAACAGAATGTTCACCTAATTCTTATCTCTTAAAATTTTTCCTAATATATAGGGGATTCTTATTTTTAAGTTAAATATGGATTCCAACAAAATTGTGTGGCTTGAAAAAGATCAACTGTTGTGCTTTTGGTCTTAAAAGGAAGCATTTTGCAGTACAAAGAGGAATGAGAGAAAAATTCCTATGGCACATTACAGATTGATAGTTAAGAGAGAGAGGATATTAAAATGAGCTCCGATTTCTTACGATTTATCCTATGAAAAGGGCTTTATACATGAAGGAGTCTTATTTCTGAGTAAATTTGATAATTATGTGGTATGATAATTATGTAATATGTAGTATGATAATTATGTTTATGTAAAAAAAATAAGGTTAATAAAAGCTCTCTGGCATAGCTACGATATGTTGTATAAAATCTGTCATTTGTAAAATAAAAATAGCTTTAATTTAATTATATTATGCAAAGGAAATTTATTTAAAACATCTATATGCTAGTTTCTCTTTCAGGTGTACGTAGAACCATTGGCATAAATCGAGAGACCACTCCACCTTTAGTGACAGTTAATATGTCAGGTAATTATCAACATGTGTGTATATTCTTGCATAAAGTATTAATTATTTTGCTGGATTAGATTAAAAGAATTTGCTCTAATTGGAAGCCATATTTCAGATGTTAGTTCTACTGAGTTTCCACGAAATGGCCGTAGGAGGGGTACTTCAAATAAAATTGTGGATCAATCTGGTAATGTATTTATATATATATATATATAAAACTTGTATTTCATGGTGTAAAAACACAGATGAATTGTAACGTTATCTTGATTATTTCTATAAGAATGTTATGTGTTATAATGAAAAGATTTAAGGAATGTTTAGTGATGCAAATAAGAAATATATATAATAAAAAGCTAAAAAAAGTCTTTTAAAAAATATTGTCAAAGGGGTCAGTTTGCCCAGAAGGACTATTAATTTCGTTTTGGCATTTTGCGTTGATTCAGTATAAGCGTTTTTTCACTTTTCAAATTGTTACCACCATGTCAAATATTATCACCATGTATTATATTTAAAGAAATTAAATAATGAAAAATCTGCATACATGTATGTATGTTTCTCACGTTGTGATAAAACAATGGTACCTAGAGCCATCCAAATTTGAATAAACGTAATCTGCCTGCAAATATGGGCAACTGGAAGCCCAAATTAGAAATCGTTTTATTATCTATTTCATATTTTGTGAAACTTTGATGAATTTTGATTAACAAACTCAAGGATTTCAAACCGAGCCATGGCAACGTTGTACAGAAAAAAACATTTTTATCTCCAGTGCACGAGTTGCGTATCGAAAATTCTAAAGATATGCTCAATTTAAAACTGTTATTTTGCGATATTGCTCTTCAATTGAGTTTAATGGTTTAAGTGCGAAGAACATGATATTTACGCACAATTTGTTAAAAATCACCCCTTTGGACGTAATTTAAAATCTGAAACCTTACAGTTTATTTATTTACTTATTTATTTTCTTTTGAAACATTATGTTCACCAGTAGTCAGGTGAATAAGATCTCTAAGCATTAGTAATTTATCATTTCCTTTGTGTGTAATCTGAATACAAGATGTTTTCTTTTAAATGTCCTCAGCAAAGAATTCCTACCTTTACTTAAGCAGACAGAAGTTTAAGCATTACTATAATCAGATGACCCCTTTAAAATAACTAATACAAATATCTTTGCTGGTAACTAGATAAAAGATGTTTGACAAAAATTATATCTGTTTAATTTTAGTTTCGTAGTTAAAGGATTGCACTGTATGAACTTTCAAAACTTGAGATTCAAGATAAAAAATCTTTTTAAAAAATAAGAATTCTGATATTATATTATTTGTTTATTTCCTGATGCATATGATGTTTACTGATATTAAAATAATCCAGAAATTAAATGCAAGAATTAAAATTATTATATTTACCCATTTGTTGGATATTCAAATGGTATAATTTAGTAATTTCATATACTATAGGCACTTTCTTATATTATTATTACAGTCTCTCATTACCACCAAATCCATGCGTACTTCTCAGATATAGTTTGTGGAGCCATATTTCCGCTATTGCTTTTAATATACATCAAAAACATTTTTCCTATCCCAAGGACTTCCACCACATGAATTCTGCAAGATAAAACTCATTGTGTTGGTAGGTTATGCTTTTTTACTTTTCATTCTGCCACTTAGCATAGCCTTATAGTCTTTGAACATTTTATTTATGAGCAGCTATTATTAGGCCAACAAAATGAAATTTATGGTTCACAGTAAAATGACTGTAACCTACATTCTGCAGTTCTGTTTTATATGCACCAATAATATGACTGAATCATTGATCCTTCTTGTGCATGGTTCATGAGTTTCTTTTCCTCTCTATTCAGAACTTAAACGAGAAAGAATTCTCCAATTTTTTACCTTAACTGACCAAATATCCAGTGCTGTGGCAGAATCATTCTGATTTTTTTTCGCCATACAAAAACAGATTTTTGTGTATTTTCACAATTTTTTCATGGTTACCTATTCATTTATCTGGTTGTTGCTTGAGATGTAGAGAACACATCTCACATAAAATTATTTCAGTTAATAGTTGTATTTTAGCAAAGACAGAGTTCCTTATCGCAAGTGTCTTTCCTCTGCCTAACAATAAATAAATTGTTATAAATTGTATTCTGGAACTACTGAGTTGTCAGAACATAACAACTTTTCACATTACGCTTGCAAATGCTTTCATTAATATGAAATTTTATTTCATAACCATTTTTGGAGGGGGATGTAGGGTAAGATGCATCTTTCTTTGGGGGGGAGTAAAGTATCTTCCTCACTTATTAGTAAATTAAATTTTTTTGACACATGAAATTAAGAGGAGGCAAACTTAAGGATAATAAATTAATTGTTAATATTTGTATGAAAAAGGAAAATACAACAGTAGTTTTTTTTTTTTTTTTCTGTGCATATAGTGATATTTTGCATGCAAGTAAAATTATTTATGAAAAATTATATTATTTATAAAAAATGTATATAAAAACTAATAAATAGCTTTTCCTTTAGCTGGATTTAGTAGGGTAACACATTTATCCTGAGTAAAATGATACAATAAGAATCCTGAAAATGTGTAATTAAATTAAATTTCTTCAAAAAGCAAAACTCAACATTTAACATTCCGAGCTTTGCGGGTTTGGCCCTGAAATTTCAGAGTTCCCTAAATTGCTATGAATAAGCACTGTGAACCTCTCACTTTCTACTTTGAGTCCTTTTTTTCAAATATACATCCAACCCAAAGTTTGATTAATCACAATCTGGCAGAAATTTTCATGTGCAACGAATGGAAAAGCCATCCTTGACTATGGAATTTTGCATCCATAACCCTTGGAGGGTTACAGAATCCAGAGAAAGAAAAGCTAGTTTTATTATGCTTAAGATTCAAGGTATTTCATCTTTATCGCTGTCTATACATGGTAACATGGCTGTATTTATTTTCTGGTGTCTCTGGATCAGTGTTTCCTAGCCTTTTTTATGCTATGTCCCACCTAATCCTTTCTTAATTCTTATGCATTTCCTAGCATATACATAATTTTTAATATTCTAAAATTGAAATGTTCACTAAAGAAATTTGAAGGATAGGTTTTAGGAAGAAATTTCTAATATTTAAATGCCCATGTCTACAGCGAAAATTCTTCATAAAATATTTAAAATGCACTGTAATTTAAAAACCTTTTTTTACGTATATATCACATTATTTATCACTTACATTATTCTATATTTTTGGGAACAAAAAATGAAATTTCGAAAAATATTGACTTCTTGAAGAAAATTTAGAAATTTTAATGTCCCTTGTCCCCTAAACTCTAGATGAGTCCATTTTCGTATTGCCACCTTTAACAATTGAATTGCTTCTCTCCCCCCACGTTGGGAAACACTGCTCTAGGAAACTTTTTCATGTCTCATTTCTGTTTATGAAATTGAAAATGCATAAACTAGCTGTAATATTTTTCATACTTTTATGGCTCTATTTCAATTTATTGTGAAAATATTGTTTCAGGTATTAATACTACTGTAGAAGAAGAAATAAAAATTGATCAGAGAAGAAATACTCGAAAGAAAAATATCGACGTACCAGGTATTTTTAAAACCAAAGCATATCTCTAAGTTTAATAAACTAACTGTAAAACCTTAATATAGCTTTTTCATATTTGCTAATTTATCCATATTTGTTTGGCTTTTTTGCGATATTTTATGGTTTTGATGATGAGCAACTCAGAATATATTTAATAAATTATTTAAAAACTGATAACAGCAGAAAGGTCTTGACTTGCCTGAAAGTCTCATTATTTCAAATTCTAGAATCAGAATTTACAGGTGCCAAAGATATAATTTTGCACAGTTTCTGAAGTTAAATTTCTGAATCTGGTACACAGGTCTTTGCTGCATTTGTGAAAAGTCTAAGCTGCATTTGTGAAAAGTCTAAAATTTATATGAGTTGATTCTATATTTTTATTTATATTTTGAGTAAAATTAGGTATTTCCTTATTATTACCCCCAGTATTGTATTGCTAATCAACTGAGATATCTTGCAACATGTTCTTATACCTAGCAATATGTTATATCTCGAGTGATTAGCGATTAAATTTCGGGGCCACTATAATGAGGAAGTACTAAAATTACATAATTTGTTTCTGAATCATAGCCCTGTATTTGATTTACAAAAACAGTCCTAATGAAATTTGATCGTTATTATTTTGCATTAATGTCTGTTTCCCATAATGTGCTATTAAATGAAACCCGATTTGTAAGTCATATAATTATTTTGTTACATTTTTGGGTTGTATATCTTTCAAATGACAATGCACATTAAAGTTGAAGCTACTCTTTTATTCAATCAGAAAAGCATGTTATGGATCTGAATCATTAACAGACAATTATTTTATCATTTATGTTAGCTTTATTATTTTGAAAGCTATCTTAGCCACTGTTATGAGTTTTAAGCAAATTCAGTGCTGTCTTGTTCAAACATGAACACAAGCAAGCACATTCAAATATTCAAGAACTCTCTCGGTAAAAATTTAACTGTGCCCTTTGTTGAGTCTTTGTATATAATATCATTACTACTATAGGTATAAAAAGAAAGTGCATAGTGTAATCTAGGATATTCTAAATCACATAGCACTTGCAGCAAAAAAGAGCTTTTTTTCCAGGGGGGGGAAGGGAGATCGAACTTAGCAATATTCCTGACTCTTTCCATTTCTTTTCCAATCTGCTGAATTGTATTATGTTTTCGTAGAGGGGGAAAAGTAACTGTATTGTATCATTTTGCATTTAAATGTTTGTCATTTGAAATTTGAAAATATTGTGTTAGATATAAAATAATGCCAGTGTATTCATTTGCTGTATAATATTTTCTGTGCTGTATAATATTTTCTAGCATTTTCTTAGAAAGTCACAGAGTTTTAATCATAGCCCATCAAACGTCTGCTAAATTATAGCTAAAGTCTTTAAAATTGTTAAATTATAATTTAAAAAATAATTAAAATATCGAAAGTACTGATTATATCACTTTATAAAGTATATGTTAATTAATCCATTTTCTTATGATTGAGATCTGCACTGTCACTTCTTTTTTGCCTTTACTAAGATGCAAATGAGGTACACCGCTCCCCCCCCCAAAAAAAAAGGGACAGTGCTATATCTCCGGTTCTACTGGGCTGATTGACAAAATTCAAACTGCGTTTTTCATGTCTCGAAAGCGTGACTTAGGATATATATTAGATTATATATAGCACTATTTTAACATAGGTATTTTGACACAAAATCGGAATTTTTTGAAATAATTCAATATTTACATATTTCGATCTACGACTCAAATATTGCCAGAATACCAGGTTTGTAAAAATCATACGAGTAGTATTAAAATATAATCTCTCAAAATTTAGCTCTTATTGAATTTAAAATATTTTATCAATATCTCTTTTTTTAAACTTTTATTTTTCTTTCACATTTGAAATTTAGGTTATCCAATAAAATTTACCAATTTTTGTGTTTATTTTTTAAATTTCTTTTTAAATAATTTTTTAATTTTTCGAAAAAAATTTTGAATTATAACTTATAAAATTTTTACCACATCTTAAAGTAGGGATTTTTAAGCAATCTGCAAAAAATTAGACTTTTTATTCAAAATTTCTAAGATATACACGAATTTACATATTTTGCATTTTGAAATTTGGCATCTTTTTTTGAGCGATAATAACGCCAAATGTGGTTTATGATTTTTGTTACAGTGAATTGCCACAGCTATTTACCTTAAATTCAAGTAAAATTTTACAGAGAATATGAATATTTCCCTCAATGATGAGTAATAAATTTATCATACTATATGAAAAGCTTTTTTAAAAATTACAGATGATATTATTCGAATTTAACTATTTTTTTAATTTTCTCTATTCTCCTTAGAGTAAATTTTTATTCGGGTTTTATATTGCACTTTACTTTAACTTTGTTAATCGATGGCTATAACTGAGAATTTTCATTTGATGTTTATGACTTTATGAAAATATTGAGACATAATGCATAATTTTTCTAAAGAAATGTTGCTTTGAAGTGGTGAAAGAGCGCTGATATACAGATTTTAAAGCACAGTATATTTTTTATAGAAACATAAGATTTAGAATAATCATTCTTATAAAAGTCAAATTATTGATATAAACATACAACCCTCTTAGAGACCGAATTGAATGGTTATATGGAAGTTCAATGGTTATGTAGAAATGATCTGCAAGCTACTTAATGGCTCGATAAGTCAGCATGTTCTGTGGACAAGTATAAGAATAATTATATAAATGACACCCAACATTCTGGATTCAATTACCAACTAAGGAGGGTACGATGTTTATTAAATGAAATTTAAGATGATTTTTAAACATAAAAAATCGACTAATTTTTTTTTATCCTAAAATGTATTTTTCTGCGTAATGTACTTTCATTATATCCTTAAAATTCTATTAGAAGTATGTCAGAACTGAATCCTAATATCAGTAATATAATAAGTAATATCCGGTATTAATAAATCTTCTCTTTCAAATATTCAAAAATGTTCTGTTTGATGAAAAATTTTCTATGCAATATTAAATTTTAAATTAATAAGATTGCACACGATATTATTATTTAACTTAATTCTTACTGTCGCTCTAGTAGAAGTACAAATCAATATATTTAATTAAGGATTAGATGGATGATTGTTAATTATGGCAAAGCACAGAGGGTTATCGCCTAAAGGGCGGGATTCGTCGGGAGGACTTTTAGGGAAACTGGCTCGAGACCACGTTAAATGGGGAAAAACAAAACGCCATGCAGCCAGCCGTTCGCGGGTCGAACCTTAGACGAACTACCAGGTTCAAGTCTTACCGCCGGCCGCTGGTGGGCTATTTAATAAGGAATGACATCTAAGTTAGAAACAGCGACCGTAACAACAATTCAATATTGGCCGTATCTTTCAGTTACGCCCGATGGAAGGACATATTTAATGAGTTTAGACTTAACTTCACTTGAAATCGCCTCTTAAATAGGTTAGTTGTTTATTTAACATAGAAAGAACATGGGAGTATGTGACTAAGATGCTTCAAGGAAACTTTGTAAGAGACTAGAAACTACGAAAACCAACCAGCAGCGGTTAGACTCGCAAAGCAATTAGTATTTAAAAATCTTCAAAGCTAGGCATGGTGAGGCCAATTAAATCTCCAATTTAATATTTATTGTAATATTAAAATATTGTTGTTTTTAGACACAAAAAGCAGAATTTAGTTGTTAACTTATAAGCACCAGCCGTAGTGCAAATGAATTCAATTTCTTTTGCTAAAATTGTATCACTTAATATCTTGAATATGAGCTAAGAAGGAACATTCTCGGAAGATTAAAGAAGTGTTTAAATCCAATGATATTAGGTTTGACTTACAAGCTCAGGATAAAACGATTGCATTGCCCGAGCAGTTGACTTGTAACGGCTGTGAATTAAGCGATGGGTTTAATTTTACGTTTTCAGTCAGAAAATGTATTCCAAATGTTTCGTATTGCATGACAATGCATGTTTTCTTTATTCAATAACCAGTCGGAGAACCGCTTGCGTTCCGAAAATAAGTATGTGTATTCAATCGTCCTGCATGTTCTTCAAATTTATCTTGTGATTTTTTTTCTTTACCAAAAACTAAAGTTGCCTCTCAAAGGAAAGTCTTTTGACATTGAAGAGACAAAAGGAGTATGAAATCTACCTTTAGAGGCATGTCAAAAACAGATCTCTACAACCTTTCTCTTCCATTACATGTTGTGCAGTCAGAAAAAAGTTGCATCAGCCTAAATTCTATAATCTATTTTTATTACAATCTGATTACTTTATTAATACAGTGAATTATACTAAAATTTTACTTCAGCTTAAGTAATTCGGATGTTATCGAACTAGGACTTAGAGATAGTCAAATTAAATATTTCGGTAACCCAATATTTCGGAGGGAGGGAAATTTTTTCAGTTTTGTCCATTATCTATTTATATGCTTCGATTCTTTATTTTTCTATAAAAGTGAAAAAATTTACACATGATATACATAACGCTAGCTTAAATTAAAATTTAATAATATACAGAGAGGTTATAAAAAAATCCAATTGAAACGGTCCAAAAGGAAAAATACAGGATCAAATTTATCAAGCTTAGTAATCGTGTAAAGGAGGTCATAGGAATTTATTTTTCCGGGAAAAAAGGAAGTTCGAAACCAGGGGGGAAATGGCGCTGTATGCAATATTGTTAAACAAAATATGGGTCGGAATCTAACTTAACCTTTTGTTACACGGGTTTTGTATGTTGTATACCCTTAAGAAACTTTGAAGTAAGCAAATTACCATTTAAAGGCGTTTTTAAATTCGATAAAAGTGAGTGCGCCATCTGTGTAAGTGAGAAATTCGTCTGTGAAAACTACGAATTAGCGATTAGAAATGTGAGATCGCAAATCACTCGCACAGTGCGTACAATCTGGAATCGTTATCTTACAGATCGCTAATTTAATTTTGAAGCCTGGTTTGGCCATAAAACATTAAGATACTGATTCAAAACGCTTTAATCGATTTGGGCCAAAGAAATTCTCATGTTATCTATCTAGTTCCAGCATTCTCCTACTGCATTCATTCCAAACAGTTCCATACCGTGTAGTGTGAATGACAGCTAGTTTTTAAAATGAACCATTTTTTCGAAAAGAGTCGACAGCTGGACCACTGTGATGCAGCCACTTAGAGTCAATGTTTAAAATTTCATGATAATGAAGCATAAGTTGGCATTTTAGATACTACAATTTTTATGCAGGGCGCCCCACCTCCTGTGTCGTACATTACTTAGGAACATTTCACGAATGAACGTTTAGGCCGGCACTCCCCTCTTCCCACCAGACCCAACCTCTGTGACTTAGTTAGGGGTTATCTCAAAGCACTGTTTAGGGATAATCTAAACATTTGGAGAAATGAAAAATTGATACACTACATGTCCGTCATTCCTCCTGATATGCTAAGAGTGCTGTTGAGAATGCAGTAACAGGATTTAACTTGCCTTCGGAAAATGCTGCACGCTACCATTGAAACATGCTTTGAACAGTTCGGAAATATTAAACCATTTAAACAGATGTTTCTGTCTTATTTCATTTAACAATAGGTATACAGCGCCATTTCCCCCTGGTGGTGAGTTTTTAACTCTTTTTTTTTTTTCCGCGGGAAATAATTCCATACCTTACACGATTCAAGTTTGAAACATTTGGTCCGGTAGTTTTCTTTTATGACCATTTCATATGGAACTTTAATTATAACCACCAGTAATTAAACTTTAAAAGTTTGACATTTGGTTCAGGGCCCAGTTTAAAAAAAAAAAATATATATATATATATAAATATAATCTTTTACATTAATCCTTAGAAAGAATGTTTAAGAGCTAATATTTCCCTCACGTATAGATTTATAAAAACATGATCTTAATATGATTTAGATGTTCAGGCGATAAAGAATCGGGTTACTCGGTGGTACAGAATAAACCCTGCTGGACTGTTTTATTTCTTTGTCATTTAGCAAAAATCTTTTAATTAAATATTTCCTTTGGACTTCTCTTTAAACTTTATTTATTTAAAATGACAGAAAATGAAAAGCTGTCTTCAGCTGAAACATAATTCATGTAACTGATATTTTAAAAAAATTGACAAGAATGCATTATTTATGGAAGTCTAGCAATCAAAAAATCTTAATTTCTTGTGTGAGCACTGAAAATAACTGTAGAAGGAAAGAAGAAGAACATAGGGAGAAAAGTAAGCAAAAATTTGCAGGGAAATTTGGCTGTCAATACCAAGATGTTTTAAAAAAGTTGGCGCTTTGAATGCTTTCAGGATACTTCAAAGACTTAGGTGTTCAAAGAGGAAAACACTTGACGTGTACACCAGCAAAATCATCAATTGAGCTTGTTAAGGAGAAAAGACAAAATGATGATTGCAGATTAAAGTGAAGAGCGATTGGTTTAGACTATATGGTTGTATAAATTTAATACTTATAGAACATCATATCGTATGATAAATGGAGAATCCCATGATTTTCTCAGTCGAATTATTTGAGATTCAGAGTTATCAGTGATGTATGTAGAGCACCTAAAGATGTTTTTTTATCTCCTGATGAGACAGAGGCCGAGCGGTAAAGTCGTGAACATGGAGTTCGGTCGAGGTTCGAATCCTGTGAACGGGTGGCTGCATAGGCGTTTTTTGGTTTTCTATGTGTAACATGTATGCGAGCCAATTTCCCTTAGAACGTCCTCCGCGAAGGCATCCCTCTTTAGACATTCCCTAGTGTGCTTTGTCATATTAAAAAACCAAAACCTCTTGAGGAACCAGCTTTCCTTTCCTCTCATACCTTCAAAAGTTTAGCCTCTAAGACTGAAAAGGCTCTGACCAAATACTCGTGAAGAAACTTTTAAGGGAACAGGCTGGCATACACGGTACCATGAGAAAATCCACGAAAACGCCCCATGCAACCAGCATGTTTCTGGATTTCCCCGGAGGAACTACCAGTGTTCAGGACTTTACTGCTCGGGCTTTGTGGGGCCTTTATGGAAGGCGGTAAATTATTTAAAGATTGTCAGAAATACCAAGATATTTCAAAAAGTGGATGCTTTTTATCAGAATGCCTAAAGAAAAGAGCAAGAATAAAGTAGAATGCCTGAAGAAAAAATATTTTTGTGTGTTAAATTTAGTATTTGTTTTTTTTAAAATTTAAAACGTTTAATCTTTATGATATTTGATTCTTGCATTTCAAAAATAAAAATATTTGACTAAATAGAATAACTTGTAAGAACCAAATTAGAATAAAATTGTGTAAAGCAATGGGCAGAATGATAAACTGTTTAAAGCAGTGTATGCAAGTCATCCTAAGTTAAAATGTCGGTTTTATACATCTTTCTTATTATATATATCTCTTCTGAACAGACATTGAAAGGCGTGTAACTGTTCTTTACTGTATTTTCTCTTTAATATATGCAGATTTCAACGCATCGTAGTCTGGGTTGCAAACTATTTTCCGAAAGAAACACAATTCAAATAAATAAAATCAAATTTGGAAAATTTATATAATAAATATATTTAAAATGCTCAGTTCGAAGGATAACTAGACAATTTTAAAACAATTATCTGAAGAGACAATGCAACACAACAATTAAATAAAAAGTAAAAAATTTAAAAATTACCCAAAATAATAACTGTGAAAAAATATATATATAAGAAACTGTTTGAAAAAAAATAAAACGCTGCACCTTTATTTAGCAGTTTGAATAGGTAAATAGAAATTTTAAAACAGTTATTCGAAAAATCGTGCAAATTAACTTAAAATAATAACAGTTATAATTAAAAATAATATAAAGAAATTATTGGAAAAAGGAACGATGGTGACTTTTTTCCTCTCACGGAAGGGAAACTAGGTTGCCATATATTAAGAAGTTCGCCAAGTGAACTATTCTGGCGCAAACTGAAAACAAAGTCCAACATAAATTGTGAATTTCTCTGTAATTTTGCTCCAATTTTACAAATTTCATATTTAGGCGTAATTGAGTGTAGAATCGAAATATGTAAAAAAATTGGGTATGTTATTTCAGAAAAAAGTCCGATTTTGTGTCAAAAATACCTATGTTAGAATAGTACTATATATAAATCTAATATATATCCTAAGTCGTGCTTCGAGATTAATAATGTAGTAATGTATTTTTAAACACACATTCCAATGCAATTATTCTAAAAATGAGGAAACCCTTTTTAAATCATTTATTATAATGCATGTACTACCTGACAACTCTTTTGAGGGCGTATAATTTTATAGAAGGCTATACTATAAATATTTCTTTAAATTTCTGATTTATTTGGAACGTAATTAAATATTAGTGTGCTTTAAAATTTGCAGTATTGTTTTAAATTATTTGTTGAAAATTTTATTACAGAGATTTGTTCAACACCCCCAAATGTCAGTAAAGTTCGTTCTAGGAAAGGCACACCCAATAGAGTTGCTGCAGATCGAACAGGTAATCCTAAAAGACAGGCTTATGATATTGGAATTTTATTTTTAATTCTCATTTAGTTCTTTGATTTTCATATGGAAATTTCTTTACATACATATATATGTAAGAAAAATAAAGAATATGTAAAAGATTAAATTAGCAGTGTAAATTAATTTTCCTTCTCTATTTTAAAAATAGCAACATCTGTTTGCACTGCGTCATTTCAAAGAAAAATCTATGTCATGAATTACGTTAATTCGGTGAGTAAATTGAATGAAAATTCAAGCAGCCAATAATAATTTTACAGCAATATTAACTATTCAATCAAAATGCTTTGAGAAACAACACTAACTCAGTTTGACTTGAGATTTCATCCTGAACATTACTCACTTGATTTTGGACCTTGCTAGACTGCTGCTGCTTTCTTGCTACAAAGTTTTCAAAAATGTAAGCCTTTTGGAACTGGCACATTCCGCAACATGTTGTTGAAAATAAAAATGAAGATTTAATCTGCCTTCGCCTCCAATTTCCTAGTCATTATAGATCAACATTTCTACGTCATCAAAATTCCTCCTTCTGCTCTGGTCATTACTTCTGAGTTTGAATATATTACAACTGAGTCGACAGGATACATGTCCTGTGTGTTGCAATTCCAGTGGAAATGTCATTGCAGTGTCTACAATAACCAACCATCTCTTTAAACTTAACTCATGTGTAATGGAAATTCATAATGTATATCGAGTATCTGCTAAGTCCAAAAGTGCTAATGTCAGTGAAAACGAAGTGTACAGCCGTCTCTTAAGTGTTTAGAAGAAAAAAAAAAAAGAGTTTTAAATCATCAAAGTGTGCCTGTTTTTTACAGAAGTGTTATCATCCAAATTGTGGCTTCGACTGTGAAAGCGAATTAGTTAATTAATGCCTGTATCTTTAATATATGTACGGCTCTGTCAATCTATGTGCCCAACCTGATATCGGCAAGTCAATTACACCGAATCGTTCCAAAACAAGTGTCAAAATCCATCAAATCCTTCTTCGAAATTTAACCCAGCATATGCAGTGATTTAATAAAGGCAACGTAATTCAACAGCAATATAACAATGTGGGAAGAAAAATCGAATAATAGATTTGCTGCGATTGCTTAAAAATGAAATCTAGTGCCAGCCTTTCAAAATGAATTCTGAGTTTGTTTACAGTAAAATGACGAATATGTTTCAAGTGCTAACGTTTAAAATCATTTCAGTGCTTTCAAGGTCATCGAACTGCATATCTTGATCCGGCTCTTATGCGAATAAATTCGCAGTTATGGGATTAAATTTACACTTAAAGTAGGTGCCAGACAATTATTTTCGCTTCTGCTTTTGCATAACTGAATCTACATTGGGAACTGATATTTTTCTCTTTGATAAATTGGACATTAAAAATGAAGACTGTGTGATATAAAGAAATATAATTTAATAATATTAGAAATTTGAATTCTAAAAATTTAGTAAAGTAAGTAAAAAATTCTTAAGATTTTAAATTATTATCAGGGAAAGCTATTAGGGTAAGTTTTTATATTTTTGAAATTTTGTTGAAAATTTTGAATAATACGAATTTTATAATTATTCTAAAAATGAACAGGGTTGCCATGCTATTTGGAAAACCGTGAAAAACCAGAAAAAGTGAGGGAAATCGAAAATTGACCAAAAAAAGTCAGGGAAAAACGTGGGAATTTAACTATTTTAGTCAAAATCTGGAAAAATTGATAATTTCATAACAGCAATTTCCAGAAAGCAATTTTTGTGTCAATGTTGAAAGCAATCACGTTCTTGGCGAATTATGTATCGCGTGCGCGTCACTAGGGCAGCTGGCGTAGAGCCAATTTTCGCAGTGCCAATCAGACTGTCTTTCAGAAAGGCAAAGAAAGTTTCCAGTAACCTCTTGAATTCAGGGGCTTGCACAAAGAATCGCATGCGAATGTAGAATGGAAGAAAGAGTTGGAAGTTCTGCCTTATGGTTAAGGTTATTTTTTCTGTTTTCAGTTAAAAAGTCTGGTTAAATTTTGTATCAATGTAACCAATTTTCTCCTTAATGAGGTCTCTGTCAGTATGAAAGTGTAAGATAATTACAAAATAAAATTAGCCAAAGAGAAGATAACTTAGACTATCTAATAAAAAAATTAACAATATATTTTACATTAAAATAACATCATAAATAGTCCATAATTTGAATTGTTCATTATAGAGTGAATAAACCCTCTGAGCGTTATGACCGGCTTTATCCAGTCATCAGAAGTTTTGCTACTTGGCATATATTAGCTTATAGTTTAAGATATTTTGCTTTCTTACTTTCTTTAATAATGTAAATATCATCTTAATGAATCCAAGTTTAAAAATACAGACTAAAATAAGTAATTATACAAATTAAATAAATGCTGTTTAAATACTGGTCTTCATGATGGATCTAAAATCCTGTGCCACTCGGAAGGTTAAAGCCAGTTTGGGACTCTTGAAATTATATCCCAGTGCAGCTCAAAAGCTTCCCAGAAATTTCCATTTTTTTGGGAGAGAATCTCCCAGGTTTTCATATTTCCAGTAAATGTATGTGTACATAGTATATGTATTAATGTATATAATTTTATGTTTACATATGTATGTACAGTCAAAAGTCTTTAATCCTGACTCGTCGGGAGTTCGGCGATTCCAGATTATAGATCATCAGTTTAAATCTGGTAAGATGGCATGCAGAAATTATAAAATTAAAAATATGAAATCTTAATTTATGAAATAAAGAGCAATTATGCTCTAAAGGGTATCAAAATTTACAAAAAAAGCTTAATATTTATTTGTTTACTTTATTAAACATTTCTTTCAACGTGCGCATGCGTAAAGCATACAATATGCATAGTCGAAATTAGAAAATTGCAACTAGAAAACTATTTGATTTGTATTCGCGATATTTATAATGACTAGGAATTTGATTTAAATCATATCAAAGACGGAGTACATTGAGATGAAATACTACATTTAGTAAGGAATTATAAGCAGAATAAAATAAAAATATCTGTCTTGAAGATAAGGTTAGTGCTGACAGATCAACTTCCAGTTCATTGCGCACTGCGATGTCCTCCCTGAGCGGAGCAGCGTGAAATTGATAAACAGATTTTGAAATGGTTAGAGAAACAAAGAAGTCTTTATCCATTTTTTGCAGCAATTCCACTTTTTGTTTGATGGACATCGAAACATGCTTTCCCTTTGTTGATCCTTTGGCAGCTTCACCATCGAAAACACTATTTGACATAATCGAAAGTTCCAACTTACTTTTATAAAATTGCTCTAACAATCTGCAAAAAGTAATAAGCCAGATCCAATTCGAAGATTAAGGAACAACGCAATATGCAACATTAACTGAAATAGATAATTTTAGCTTAGGTTATACCATCCGTTATACATTAAACGCGCATGCGTAAAGGTATTACGCGCTTGCGCAGAAAGTGTGTAGCTTTGAGGTCTGGATTATAGATCATTTCGCATTATGGGTGTCTGCATTAACGACTTTTGACTGTATATAATTTTATGGTTATGCTAATTTCTGGTTTTGTTCTCTTTTCATAGTGCCAAATTCTAAAGCTGAGAAAATGAATGTTGACAGTTACATCGAAGTTTCAACATCAAGTATGACTTATTTATTACATTAAAATTAATGATTTTTATCTTTTATTACAGATGGCTGTAGGGTATATGTTGCAAAATGTAACTCTTGTTTTAGATTCACTCATAAAATTACATTATAGTTCTGCTGAAGATGTTTTGCATCAAGATGTAAATTTTGGTAATTTCTAATTATCTGCATCTCCATCAAAAAGATGCAAACTCATTGACAACTAGTTTTCTGCCAAGCTAATCAAGAGTAATTTTTCTGTGATGTTGATCTCTTCACAGTAATATGTTTTTGCCTTAATAAATAAATAAATAAATAAATAGAACAAATACCACTATCTTCAAACCAATTTCCAAACTGAATTCTTACACTTTGCTTGCAATGTTTTCACATTGCATTTCCATTATATTTGGTTATTTAAGAAGTAAAATTTCATAGAATGCCAGTTTTAGCATTGTCTGTTGTTGGGCCAATTGTCGTATTTCTGCAAAAATGCACTGCTTTCTTTTTCATCATCCAGAATATTCCACTATCCCATTGCATTTAGTTATAAGAAAAATAAATGTACTCATTTTTCTGAATAGTGCTGATCAAAACAGTGAAAAAATTATGCCTGAATTTCAGAAATGCAAATTTAAGCATACCTGTGTTAACACGTAAATGTTTTGCTGAGATCTTGTGTTGCCATATAACTGCTTTGGCAAATTATTTACTGCCTTGCCGGATGAATATTTTTTAACAACTTTTAAGGTTGGATGCAGATAATCAGAAGAGCCTAAATTTCTTTTTATTCATATTTTAGTTAAATAAATTCTGTTTTCCTTTTATTGTAAAATATAATGCTTAATTTTAGTGCTATCAAACAGCCCTTCCTCCCAAAGTTACGTTTTTAAGGAAAATATTGTTAAACAATTTGTTTAACATATAAAAGAGTTCAATTTATGAGCAAAAGTCTCTTTTCTGTCTGTATAATGCTATTAGCAAAAAAAGAGGGGGGATTCATTGGCTAGAAACTTGCTGTTCAGGTTCTTCAAATGATCCATATGCACCTCAAGATAGATTTTTATTATTGTTATGTAATTTTGGAATTTATGTATTTTTTACATCAATTGTAACTTGATCAAATTAATAATTTGAAAAATTTTGACTTTTACCTTTCTTATCATGGGAATCCAGTTTTACAAAAGACATCCTAGACACTGATTATTCTATATCCAATACTTTTGAATTTTGTTGTTGGGTAAGCTGTGGTAAATAACATAATCTTGCAATTTTTATAGGTTATTTGCTTCAGTTTTCTTAAAAGTGGACTCATTTAAAAGAATTATCCACCTCCAACTGTTCTGATATGTTTTTGCATTACAGTTTTACATGCCAAGTCAAGTGGTGCAAGTGAAATTTTGTTCCTTCACACTTACATGCTTGATGTGACATGATGTCTTTTCCTTACTAAGCAAAATTATTTTGGGGATTCTAATGCAATTTTATTTCTTTATATTACTTATTCCATAGTACACACCTCTATGAACTTTTTCCACAATTTACGTGTCATTTTTTCAATGGTGAAAAAATATTCTTTTGAATCAATACCTGAACTATTAATATCATCACTTCAGTTGGTAATAGAGTTTAATTATTCTGATCCATCTTTCTTATTATGTAGTATATATCTAAATCATCAAAATCATTCTGATCCCCCTCACCCCCTAATGCTGAAATAATCTTTTTAAGAAATATACAAATAAGACTCACACTATGTATAGATATTGGACATGGAGAAAGGAATGTCTTAGAATCAAATAAATAATTGTTTTTGATCAGAAACTCTTGAGTTGGTATAAATAATTTATTATTTGTGGTAATGTAAATGCTAAAATATAATTTATAGCAGCCAGTTTAAGAATATGAAGTATTTGAAATTAAAATTTTGTGTAATATTATCTGTCTCTCTCTCTCTCTCTTTTTTTTTAATATTTTACATAGCTGGAAAGACGCCAAAGAAAGTTCAGTTTGCTGTAAATGATGATGATATAGGTAAGTATTTTCAGTCTGTCAGATAAGATTACCCCTGTGATGTCATCTGTCTTAATATGTTTGTGAAAATTGATGTTGCACAAGCTAAATGTATGCAGTTAAATTTGTGTACATTTTATTTTGTATTGATATTTTTCAACCATTGCTGGTGTACTCATAGATTCCCAATTACTTTGGCTTCTCCGTATGTAATTTCTACAGAAATTCCTGAAAAGCTATGAGCTATGAAAAATATGAGAGAAACTACAGATTTTACAGAAAGAGAGTAGGGAAACTAATACGTAAAATGGAATGAAATAAATCATCCAATGATGATTGGCTGAATACTCGTGTCGTGATGTATCACGTGTTGAGTGCGTTGTTGGTTTTGAAGAGTTGCCAGTCGTATCAGTAAACATCCAACCATTGATCTCTGTAATCTAGTTCCCTGCATTTCCAGATTCTTTGCTGCGGTAAAGGGCTTGTTTAGGCTGCTAGCTGCTTTGTTAGTCTATGTGTTTAGACTACGGCGAGAGCATAGAACTTGTATCTTGTGAATTGTGATTCAGCTGGAAGCTTTTTTGTTAATTATGCTGCCTTGAATGAAGAAACTAAAGTTATCAAAGCAGAAATTTAAAGATTCATATTCTTTAGAAATTCAATGCATTAAAGCATCCAAAATTTCTGGGAGTCCAAAAACAATTAATGATTAATTAAAAATTAGCAAATGATTAATTAAAGAATATGCCTTAGGCGCGCATTTTCAAAGTTGTAAAAAAATCCATTAGCGAGTTGACTACTGACAAGTTTTGCTGTCGGTTGGAGTCCAATGTTCTGTCATAAAAGTGTGCAATAATGTTTAACTGGAAAATTATTTCCAAACAATGATTTCTCTTTTTGTGTATGTTCTGGAAAGCTTTGATCAAAAAACTTTTATTTTTTCTTTAAATATAATAATGCACATAAATCATTAAAATACTGTTCCTTCCAAAAATTGACTCACTCAGCTGTATGGCAACATTTATTATTCTTTAATTCAGAGATCAGTTGAACCAGTAGTACTTCTCGGACTACTGGTAATAATAATTTTTCATCAACTGTATGCAGGTATCTTCCTTTTGCAATTAAGTTGGAATGTGTGAAGCTTCAAGTCATCCTTCATAATTTTTACATGATGGTGTCAAAAATGATTTTATTTCTCACTGTATTAAAATTTTATCTTTGAGACTTTTCAAATAGTGTTTACTATAAGTTTAAATACTGTTTTCTATTTTACCTGCATGCATTTTTGTGAAATGGTCTTTCATTTTTGATGTTTCATTGCATCATTGTTAAAAGTGTTTTCACAAATGACTCATTAAAATAACTTTGTACTTTGGTGATGAAATATAGCCAGACTTGAAGTATTCTTCAGAATATTATCAGAATTTTCTTTTTGCACAAAAAGATATAAAATATCTTAAATAATTTTTGTCTATTTTGCCCCTCATATTTATAGGATTACTTCCTTATTGTGTAATGTAGCATTATATTAATAAGCAATTAATTATCTATTTTATATTTATCTATTCAGCTGTTGATCCCTTGATCATCATTGACCCCAATTAGAACCCTTAGTTTACAGCTCATTAAGAGTGTTGAATTTTGTGCCAAATAAACAGCATTTGTGGGAAGTTTTACTTCATTATGTCATTGCAGAGAAAACTGCAACAGAAAAATATAATTAGCAGCTTTAAAATTTATGGTAAACATGCTGTATGGAATATTGCAAAATTTGGTTTCAATGGTTTAAAAATATGCATGACTAAGAGCATAGAAACCACAAAAATTTTTGAGACAAAGAATTGAAAACCTTATTGAATGAAGATCATTGTTAACCCCTTCGCGCCGGGTAGCGCAAACGCGTGCTTATCGCGGAGGCCGGCAGTGTCTTATGCGAGCGTCTGTCTAGGGCAGGGGGCTTTTTTGCTATTAAGCCTAAATCCATGAAATTTCTGAAGTATCAATGCATTGTTTAATAATTCTCTATAGAGTATTTAAACGGCTTATGCTTTATATTTTTATATATACTTTAATTACCTTATTTCTTGTTTAAATGCATATTTTACACATTTTATTTTCATTACTCACCATTTTATGACTTTTAACATTATACATCTGAAAACTAAATATATTACTTAAAATTCTCTTTTAGTATGAAAAATTTGAAAACAGGGATCTACACACAGTCCTACGTTACATTCCTTGCACTCGTAATAATTCATTTGCCGTTTTGGAGGATTTTTCCGGGAATGTGAACAAACAAAGCATCGTCGTCTCATTTTCTTATCAGTCTCTTCTGAACAAAGTTTTGAAAAATGTCTTTCAGTTAATCTGAGCGGATTTAATGATTCTGCTGATCTTGGTGTGATATTAACATTGGTGCTTTTAGAGGAATACCGATAAATAATTTGATATATTTTGCATCATTTCTGCTATTTCATGCTCTGTTAAACATATTTTGACGCTTCGACATTGCAACGGTAAAAACAGAAAGAATTCACGTCTGACAAGATCTAATTATTTTCTAAAAACTGAACTGCAAACCAAAATACCCAATGCTTTAGCGAAAATAAAACTTCTCTACTTACAATAAACAACTACCACGTGCGAATTTAAAGAGACTTCATAAATCACGCCATTCGGAAACATTTATTTCCCCTTTTGTTTATATAATCAAAAACACGTGTATGTGAGTCATGCTTCTCTCATTTCAAGTAGAAGAAGGTCTAATGTACATGTATCTGAAACCATATGGACATACAGTGCCATCTTGTGGCAGAAATTATAGTTTTTAAAACGTTCCAGGATACTGGCACAAATACGTGACAGTTGGGGCTGAACGGGAAAACGCTCTGGCACGCCTGCATGTCGACCGGGAAGTGAGTGTGTTTGTTGTTGGCACATAGACGTGACAATCGGCGCAAAGGGATTAAACACAATCAGAATTGGCTGCTACATTAAATGTTACTCCCAGCCATGCATTTCTCAACATCTACATGCAATGGGAATGGTTGAAAACCAAGAAAATTGGATCTATTTATTTACTCAAAAATGGTGAAGTCGTACTTGTACATCTATTATGAGATGCCCATAGTTAATTAGGCTGATTATAAGAAAGTTTTCTAATGGCTACTTATAACGAGGCACAAATATAGGGGGGATGTACTAATCACAGAGAAGACATTGGCTTACTCTCCTATTGCGTGCATTTCTCTGCATGATGTTTAAATATCTTTAAATGTTTAAATCTCATTTTTGCATTATTTTTTTTCTATTTTGTTTAAATATTCTTTATTGTTTTACTTTGTTTATTTACTGCTTTTAGAATCATGGTTTTAGGGTTTATATTGTATATAATTGAATTCATGGCCTTGTGTTTTGTATATAAGTGTTTGTTTCTTATGCATAAATGTAGATCTTTCAATTTTTAATGCAACAACATAAAAATTATGGGAATAGTTCAAGTAGAACACAAGATGTAGGCAAATATCCTCTTGATGGGCCTTGGAGACTTTCTGGGAGATTTAGAGATAAAAACCTTATGAGGATTCTTTTCTGAAGCTTTAGAAGTCTGATGGCTTCATAAATATGGCTGTGAGAGCTAGGCCGAGTCAGGCAATTAAAATTTAGTGAATTGCATTTTAAGAGTTTACTTTGCAGTTGATTTTCAGAACTGATATTTCTTTGTGCACTAAGAAGGAATTGCTTAATATCCGTGTTCTTGAGCAATTTACAGCCCCCCCCCAATTTTTTTCTGTGTAATTATTACACTAAACTCTCATTAACACGAATCCCAAGGGACTGAAAAATCAAGAGTTTGTGTTAACTGGAGGCTCAAATTTTATTTTTGGAATTCCTAATGTGTAGGGGGAGTGGCCCCCTACACATAACCATTTACAGTATGTAGCTACATCGTGTGGGAAAAAAAAAAAAAAAAAAAAATGGGACAGTTCTATATCTCCTGTTCTACTGGGCCGATTGACAAAATTCATGTCTCGAAAGTGCGATTTAGGATATATATTAGATTTATATATAGCATTGTTATAACATAGGTATTTTGACACAAAATCGGACTTTTTCTAGAATAACATACCATTTTTTTTTCATATTTTGATTCTACGACTCAAATTATGCTTAGAAATTAAATTTTGTAAGATTCGGTACAAAATTTACGGAGAAATTCAAAAATTTATCTTGGTACAATTTTTTCAGTTTGCGCCAAGAATAATTCATTTTCCAAACTTCTTAATATATGGCAACCAAATTTCCTTTCCCTTCCATTATGCAAGAGCAGAAAAAAAGGTACTTCGTTCGTATCTTTTTACATTGTACATGAGGAGAAATAAAGTCACATCGTTCTAACTTTCAAATAATTTTAACAAAGTTCCTAAAACCACATTTGATGTTTTATCGCTTTCAACAAATATGCGAAATTTCAAAATGCGCCAATATATAAATTCACATATATCTTCGGAATTTTTGAATAAAAAGTTGTAATTTTTTGCAGGTATGCTTAGTAATACGTCTACTTTAAGATGATGGTAAAATTTTTATAGATTATAATTCAAAATTGTTTTTGAAAACTTTATAAAAATTATCTAAAAATACAAATTTTAAAAATAAATCATAAAAAATGGGCGAATTTTGTTTGGAATGAACCTGAATTTTGAAATTGAAAGGAAGAATCAAATAAGTTTAATAAAAAAAAGAGAGATTAATAAATACATACCAAACTCAATTAACATCGAGGAACTAAAATTTTGAGAGCTAATTTTATAAAAACTACCCGCGATTTTTACAAAACTTAATAGTTTGGGGTAATTTGAGCCGTAGAATCTATATATGTAAAAAAATAGTACGTTATATCAGAAAAAGTCTGATTTTGTGTCAAAATATCTATATTAGAACAATGCTATATGTAAATCTAATGCGCATCCTAAGTCACCCTTTCGAGACATGAAAAACACAAGTTGAATTTCGTCAATCGGCCCAGTAGAACGGGAGATATAGAACAGTCTCCCCTTTTTTAATTCCTTGTACGAAGTAAAAAGGAAGTATTGTAATCGCGAAAATTTTCAGGCAACATATTTCAATGAAAATATCCATTTTGATCACTATCGAATGCAATTTAACGATGTTTTTGCGTGATATCTGTGCATAAGGACAGAATAAAAGACACATTTCCTCCAAAGAAATTATAAAACTGCTTTAAAATTAATTCTGAAGGGAATTTTTCGTGGCGTCTGTACGGACATATGTACGTACGTATCTCGCATAACTAAAAACAAGTAGCCTCGGAAGGTTGAAATTTTGTATATAGGACTGCTATAACATGTAGATGTGCACCTCGTATTTTGGTTGCAATCGGCCGCATCAAAAACGTATATAAATATATTTATATATATATCCGCTTTGTTACCCGCTCAGTGATCTCAGTTCTTTACTCTTATATGTTTGTAAATTGTACATTTTTGCTTTAAAAATGACTTGAATTTTTGTTTTTATCTTCCGGTTAAGGTTTTTATGCCTTTAGTAATTCTGGAGCAATATTTGTACTATTGTCAACAATTTTAAAGCTGTTTAAGTGCGGTTAAGTTTTTAATTTAACATGGCGGACATATTTGTTTACATTTGAACAGCAGAATTGTAGATTTGTTGCCAATCTAGAGAGACTAGCTTCGCAACACAAAAATAACGCCTTCATTTATTATTGCGAATTAAATCATGCTTAATCCTTTCTGGAATTTTTTCGAGGAAATAAGTGTTTAAATTTACTTCGTAATTTTTAATATAGATATTTTGAGTTTTTATTATTTTTTGCCTTGTCGCGAAGTGAGAACTGAATTAATTGAATGAGAAATACTAAATCGTCTGTGAAAAACTGTTTCTTTTGTTTGCTTAATTTCTTTTATACATTGTTTTAGCTTTATTATAGTATTTGAATAGAACATGTGGTAACGATAATTCTTCAAATGGTATAAATTTTGTGCATTCAGAGTGTCGTTATAGTAAACAAATATAGTGAATTTTAAAGAGTGCATTTATTCTATTGTGGTTTATGCGCTGTCTACGAAGTAGATTTAATTCAATCCAATCAATTTAAATGAAATTCAAGAAAAAATGCGTATAATTTAATATTCCGTACAAGGAAGTCATGTGGTGTACCCATCAGATTTTTTTTCTTTGCGCAGTGTACATAAGTATCTATAACAGTACATTATGTATGTCATTATAGAAGACACTACCATACTGCAGTAATTATTGTACTGTATCTTAAGAAATTGTACTCGCAGATAATTTTTTCATGAAAAATTCTTGCATACGGGACTGTTGCAGATGGGAATGAAAGTGCTAGGTAATTTCAGAGCCAATTGTAGTCATGGCTTCCGTAAAACTAATGTTCAATTTGGATGCTACAGCAAAATGTTCTGAAGTATCTGAGGCATGTAATACTTCCTAGTGAGTGGCAGAATGATATTTCCTCTGATTTTCTCCTCCTCAATTTCTTCTGATGACATTTCTTGGACCTCAGAGCTCTGACCTAACTGGAGCATACACAGTTACACTGTCACCTGCACTAATGAACTCCTAAAAACTAAAATTAGGGTTTGCAACATCTCAAGAATTTTTTAAGGTTTAACTTTTAAAGAATAGGAAAAAAAGGCACATCTGAAAACAGAATTGCATTTGCTGATTGAAGCTCATATTGAGTCAAGGATTGCAATTGTCAAGCTGTGTTACTCATGCTGGCTATGTTTTAAAGAATACAGTGTATTATGTGAGGCTTTCAATTAAATGTGACTGAACATTTCTGAATGCAGCCCTAGCTGAGAAACATAATGAAAAAATCTAAATAACTTGGAAAGTTCGTGTTAAATGAAAAAATCTAATGCTTGCATAATACGTTGCAGGCTACTTATTATTCACAATAGTAAGTTTGTTATGTGACTTCTTCAATTGCCTGTGTAAGTTAATGAAACTTTCTATATATTTTTCAGTAGTCCACAAATGCCTGTAATCCACACATTGTTTGTAAACAAACATAATTTCAGCTCGTAGAAAAATTATTGGAGGCTAATTTATCACAGTTTTTGTTATATGCGGATGACTTTTGTAAAAGATGTGCAGTGCATTAATAACATATTTTGATTAATGAAGCAATTTCTTAAAAATTTAAATTAGTGAATTGTATGTTGATTGTATTATTATTGTTACACATGGATTGGATGTAAATCTCTGCAGACTTTTTGTTTTGTGTAAGGAGTATATAAACTTTCTGAAAAAACAAAATTTTATGGCATGCCAGGAAAGATTTACAGGGGAGGATATGATGAAAGAGATGCCTAAAGGGATCTTTTTGTTTTGTATAAGGAGTATCTAAACTTTCTGAAAAAACAAAATTTTATGGCATGCCAGGAAATAATAATGTATAGACTTACAGGGGAGGGTATGATGAAAGAGATGCCTAAAGGGTTAAAACAAGGGACAAAGAAAATGATATTCAAAAAATATAAAAGTAATCATTTATTATATATAATTATATTCTAAAATGTAATGGTTTGATATTTGAGAATTCTCAGCTTAGGAGTTTTAGTTATTTATGTGCAAACAATCCAAACATATTGTAAAAATACGGAGAAAGTTATAAACAAAACTCTGAAAGACTTATAATCAACACAGCCCTTTGTCACAAAATGTGTGAATTAAAGTAATTCTACTATATGAAAAGTTACTATCATGTTAAAACTTCTTAAAGATAGAGAATGTGCTTTATTCATGTTTGTTTCATTACAAACTCTTTACATAATAATTTTTATTTATTTATTTTTTAAGATTCAAATTTCTCTGAAGACTCACTAGTTGAATTTGATGCTCGTCAAAAATCTATGCATAGTTATCTTTCAGGTAATTATATTTTTTGGAACTGTTTTATGTAGCTTTTCATATATATTCAATATTGCATTGTTATTTAAGAAATGAATTAATGAGATCATGTCTTATATACTGTTGAACTTTCTGAGAATGTTTCTAAGTTTTTGTACATGCTGAATACATTGTTTCTTTATAGAATTAAAAAAGCATTCACCTGAAGGAAAAGATTATGAAGAATTTACTTCTTGGACCTTTAAAAAAAGTTCAGAAGGTTTACTGATTTAAATATTATAAATATCAAATTCCAAAATTGCTTTGCATGGCTTTTTCTTGCGCTTCATGTTTCTCATTTGTTCTTAATGCTACATTGTTACTTGCAAAATAAATTAACTTGATAATATCTTATATGTTGTTGGAGTTTCTGGGAATAATTCTGAGGTCCCTTGCGTGCTAAGAGTATTGCTTCTTTCTAAAATTAGATCCTGCTGAAGAGGTTATGCCTAGATCAAGAGATCATCAAAACACTATTGCTAACACCTTTGAAGAAAATTTAGGTTTGCTGATTTAAATAGTGCATTGTTACTTATAAAATAAACTTGATAATATCATATATATTATTGGCTTTTCTGAGAATAATTCTTAGATTCCTTGCGTGCTAAGAGTATTGTTTCTTTCTAAACTTAGATCCTTCTGAAGAAGTTATGCCTAGATCAAGAGATCAGCAAAAAACTATTGCTAACACCTTTGAGGAAAATTTAGGTTTGCTGCCTTATATACTATGCATATGAAATTCTAAAACTATTGTACGGCTTTTATTTTTCTTCTGTACTGCGCTTTTCATGTTTATTTAATACTTTATTATTACTTTAAAAAATGAATTAACAAGGTTATGCCTTGTATACTGTTAAATTTTTTGAGAATAGTACAAAGCTTCCTTACATGCTAAGAATATTATTTCTGTCTAGATTTGGATCCTCCTGAAAAAGTTATGCCAAAAGCAAGAGGTCGCCGAAAAACTATTTCTAGCACCCTTGAAGAAAATTTAGCAGGTTTGCTGGGCTTTACATGGCTTTTTCTTCTTATTTAATTTTTCATATTTATTTAATACGCTATTATTTCTTAAAAAATGAATTTATGTAATTATACCTTGTACACTTGAATTTTCTGAGAAAAGGATTAAGGTTCCATACATGCTATGATATTGTTTCTTTCTAGATTTGAATCCTCCTGAAAAAGGTATGCCTAAAGCAAGAGGTGGTCGAAGAACTATTTCTAGAGCCCTTGAAGAAAGTTTAGAAGGTTTTCTGACTTAAATATTATTTATATCAAATTTAAATACTGCTTTAATGGCTTTTTTCTTTTTCTTCTATATTAGATTTTTCATATTTATATAATACTGTATTGTTACTTAAGAAATGAATTAATATGATCATATGTCATAGCTGCCAGCTCTTACGGTTTTACTGGGAGGCTCCCAGCAGATTGTCAAATCTCCCTGTTTTTAATTTAAAAATTAAAATATATAAAAAAATTAAATTGTGTGGGAAAAATGTACCTTGGTATCATTTTCTGGTTATCAAAAGATTTTAATTTTTATGAAATATTTATATATTTTATAAAAAGAGCATCTTCATTTTTATGGAAGCAGGGACTCTTTACTATTGTTTTATGCAATTGGTAAAAAGTAAATATTCTAAAAAAAAAATCAAGTTTAAAGTAGTTTTGCAGAATATTTGAATTATTCCTTTAAGGGAAGTGTGTTTCAGCAATAAATGAAATTTATTGAGTGGATGAAACTTAAATTGTGCAAATTCTATCCCTTCACCCTTAGGTGATTTTCAGAATATTTTTTCATGTTAAATTTTATTTCACCTGAACTGTATTTTTGTCTTATTATATATTATTGACTTTTTTCTTATTAAGTTTTATTTTATCTGAGTTGTCTTAACATACTACAGACATCTGTAGATTTTTATATGAAGATTCAACCAATGTTTTAATCAGTTGATATTTGCATTTATTTTACTTCATTATATGGTACATTACTAAGTTAACTCTACACTAAATCTACATAATAATTACTAAATATTATCTACACTAATTATTAATTAAATTTTCATTGTATTAAAAATTACTCTAATAAATAAAAGCTTTTCTTTTCTATTCGCAAAAGTCGCTGAACACTGGTAGCTTGGTCCGAGGTTCGAATCCCGCGAACGGGCTGGCTGCATGGGTGTTTTCGTGGTTTTCCTCACGTGTAACGTGTATACGAACCAGTTTCCCTTAGAAAGTCCTCCATGAAGGCATCCTTCCCCCTTAGGCAGATAGCCCTCGAGGTTATGCGATAATCACACACACACAGAAACTCTCTTTTTGCAATTTTCGGAGTATAAAAGTATAAGGAAATTTACAAAATAGAATTAGCCAAAGAGCTTCAATGTTAGAACATATGCTTAAATACTAATATATTTTACATCAGAATTGTATTAGAAATAGTTCAGTAACCTGAATAAGTGAATTTAAGTCATTTGGGGGTTCCTTTGAGATGGATGGCATAGCTGTGCAACATGAAAAACATCCCAGTTTTTCAGATTTCAAGGTTGGCAGCTATGGTATGTTACATATTGTTGAATTTTCTGAGAAAAGAGCTAAGCTTCCTTTACATACTAAGCATATTATTTCTTTCTAGATTTTAATCCTTTTGAAAAAGTTACGCCTAAATCAAGCAATCGTCGAAAAACTATTTCTAGTGTCTTTGAAGAAAATTTAGAAGGTTTGTTGGCTTAAATATTATACATAACAAATTCCTATATAAAAGTTTGATGTGTGCTTCTTTTCCTCCCACTATCATATCTTTTGAAATATCTGTTATTTTTGTGTGTGTGAAACCTACTTTGGTTTCTTTTTCTAGTCATCAAAAGATTTTCATTTTTATAGAATATTTATATATTTAATAAAGAGAGCATCTTCATTTTTATGGAAACAATAACCATTTACTATTGTTTTATGCAGTTGGTAAAAAAAAAGTAAATGTTATTAAAAAGTTTAAAGTAGTTTTACAGAATATTTTAATTCAAGTTAGGGCAAGTGATAAGCTTTCGTTTTCGACACTGAGGCAGATAAATATTAGAAGTACAGCTTTGACGGATAAAATAGTAGTGAGATATTATTAGATGACCTTCCTCACTATCCTAGATTTTAAAAACTTAATGCATTTTCAACTCTGCAGCTCCTCTGGGCCTCCTTGTTGTTTTCCTAGTGAGGGAGCATAGCCTACCTCACAGTGTCCAAAGGGATAGTTATAGGGTGATCAATGTTGGCATATTTCAAGAGATTCTCTAAGTTAACAGATAACTTTTATTACGATGATTAAACATAATACACAGCACTATATCGGATGGAAGACTAATTTACTTAAAGAATGGCGTTACAAGATTGCGCTCCTTATTGACGCTTCAAGACACGTCTTCACATGATGAGTTACAGGCCCAAACTAACTCTTTTGGTGCGTCAGCTCCACCTATAGTATCTCGTACTTCATAACACCTAGTTTTGAAAGTATACTGCATATACGTTATATTTTACACTTAATATAAGTTATTTTTGTGGGCTATGCATTTATCATATAAAATTACAAATTATCTTGAAGATCAGTGGAAATGGGTTATCCAGAAAGCAGGATGAGGGAAGTAGGAATTAGGCCTCAATAACCTATGACCTGTGAATCACCAAGCGGCCCAATTCATAACTTCAAATGACCCACTTGAGTTCCGAAAATAATAGAATGTGTAAAAATAAATTATAAAACATAAATATGAAATGAGCTGTTGAAGAATACATTAAAAAAATAAAAACTGACATTTTTGTTTGATTACAAAGTTGCAGTGAAGAACATGCATTTTTATTTTTTAAAAGTAAAAACTGTAGTGTAATTTGAAGAAATTGATAAGCTTGGTAATGCCGACCCATAATTCCAAAAAAACTGGCTTGTCTGAATGTTTTTGCGCATAAAATTTATTTTAAGTATGAACAGGAGTAGTTAACTACTGAAATGATTATATTCGTCTTAAGCCAACTAACTATAAGCCAGATTTGACTAAATTGACATCACAAGTTTAGCATCAAAGTCGTTGATATTGAAGTAAAAAATAAAGTTCATTCAGTTTTGTTTATTTTTTTAATAATTATTTTTTTTATGTTAAAAGCATATTGTAACTATTTTCCCAATAACCTTTACCTTTTTATTCATCATGAAAGACTGTTCAAAAATGGAAATACCATTGATCCCAAATGTTTTCTTAATACACACATTTCAGTTGATTTTTGTCTGCATATAAAAGAGGTTGCCGATGCCTGGTATAGATTATTTATTCCAGGTTCATGTATATATATATAAAAGAGGTTGCCGATGCTTGGTATAGATTATTCATTCCAGGTTCATGCATATATATGTGATCAATTTAGTTTCTTGCAGTAATTTGATATGAGGTAAGTTTTTGACTATGGAAGCCATTATTTTGCAGTCATGAGTGGATTAAGATTAAAAGATCATTGACAATATCAGTTATGTAGTAGAAGACGTGGAGAACTTTTGAAGACTCACGGAGTCTCTTGATAATTTGAATATATCTTTATTACTTGTTGATTGCTCTATGGCATGGCATATTACAATGGGACCAATCTGTACCCCACAATTTTAATGATAATGCATTACAGTTTTAACAGAAGCAGCCAAGCAAGAGACCTCCTTTAGCTAGCAAGCGTAGGCAGAGAAAGAAGGATTGTAGTTGGATTGCAGCGATATTTATAGTAAAATTTTTCGTTAATCTGTTTGGTTAAAATTTATGGGTAATGCAGAAGTTTAAGATCATATAAAGTGGGTGCAATTTCGAGAATGTTGTAGTTACTAGAGAGACAGTACCTAGATAAAAATTGAGCATATAAGAGGGTTTTTTTTTATTATAATTTTGATTTACATATATTTTATCAAACATATTCCCCTCCCCTTCAAAGAGAAAAAGGCTTGGCAATAAAAAAGCCTTTCTAGAAGAAAGCATTAGTGAAACAAAGGAAATTCAAATGGGGGGGTGTGAATCATGGAATTTTGATCTAAATAATTTTCTAAAAATAATAAAATCTTGTAAATATCATTTTTAACAATAAATGCAAATTGAAAATTCCACTGGAAATCTGAAAAGCTTTTTTTTTTTTTTTTTTTTTTTTTTTTTTTGTTGTAAAAACACTAAGAAATGTTTTAATTTTTTTCAAGAAATAGCTGTAAAAGTTCCTGCAATATCTGTGCTTGAATATCATAATATTTTACAGTTCTTGACTTGAAAGTCTTTTGTAAAAATTGTTTTTGCCATTATAAAACCAAAATTTTCTTTTACATAATCTTGAAATTTGTGCAAAAGTTAATTATTTATTTCACACTTATAAAATAATTCACATTTTCTTAATTGTAAAGCAATATAAAATATAATTGAGAGCTTCAGTCAGTACAATAATAAAAGAAACTATGATAAAAATGGGCAAATTCTCTACAATGCAAATTTAAAATGCTACAATACTGATTTAGAATGAAAGCATTTATTCATATGATTGTTTTGAAAAGAATGTGTTGCTTTGAATGTGTATTAATTTATCTTATATCACTGCTTTAGTACCTGTTTTTGTTTTCTGATATTGTCATGTTCTAAATTACGGATTGCTTTCAGATACGAATACACCTCACACAAGTGATCAAACCAGCTTTAAGCGTAAATCAGTTTCCAGTGTAAATGGTATGTCTTTATATATATATATATATATATATATATATATATATATATATATATATATATATATATATATATATTTGTAACATGGCCAGTAGTGTGGCCAACATTTCTTTTTTTAATTTGAGGTTTGTTAAATATATTGCAATGTGGCATTTTCCATTATAGTCTCAACTTCCTGCATTTCAGTAAATAAAATTAGAGTTATAAGGTAATTTTTGAAGAATTTTTTTAATTGTATATTACAGGTAAAAAATTATATCATGAAATGCAAATAAAAGGTGTACAATTTGTAAAATAGAATTCTTTTGCTGTATTGCATTAATTTAGCATCTACATTATACTGAAAAAATTCTCATAAATGGGCTCTAAGGTTACCTTTAATAAATTCCAGTCAAGAAAAGATGTGAATAAAAAGTCAGCAAAACCATAGAATTCAAAATACAAATTAAATCTAAAGTAAATTCATGCATTTGCATTTTTTAATTTTTAGAAGCTCATATAAGATTTTGACATCACTATAACATTAAATCTCCAGATCACATTTTGAGTTCTAAGTTTGTAATATATCCACATATTTTAATGCATATTTCTTTCAAGAAACTTTCTTTTAGTGTAAAATCTCTTTAATGACAGTAGGTTTTTAAAACTGTTTATTTTAAGCACATTTTTGCAGGACTGCACAATTTATGTGTGTTTTTAAATCATATCTGTGTAATATCAAATAGCATATAAACAGGAAATACTGTATTTTTTAGTGTGAAAATGTGTTTGTCAGAATTTCTTGTAAAATATTAATTTTATATATTTTATTAGCTGCTCCATCACCCAAAAGATTAAGAAGTGGGAAAAGAAACAGTGTTGCTGCTGTTACTAAAGGTAAATGAATTTAATTTAAAGATTAAATTAAGCTTCTAAAGAGTAAAACTTCTACTATATATTACAATACAGTGTCACAAATGTTATCATTGTAAATAGCTCACCAACTTCCTTTGATCATCATCAGTAATTATTTTATATAATTAGTAAAAAACAAGCTGAGAAGGAAATTTAGATTACTCTGACCTGATGCTTTAAGAGGTGAAATAGAATTTCATTCTACTAGAGTGTCAAGATGTCATTCTCTGGTTAATATGTTTATAGCTGCAAAAGCTGGGTGCCAGGTGATGTAATAAAAATGAGCCTTCTTGTGGATAATAAAATGGGGCATATGATCTAAAATAGGCACATGGCCAAATCTTTATCTGTATGGGGGTCAACTCCCATGAGTTTTATTTTAATGCCATCTGGCATTAAATAAGTGATACATAATAAAATATAAGAGACATATGATGGCAAAACTTCATTGTTTGTTGAACATGTTTACTTTCTGTTTAATATCAATTAAAGAATTTATAGACAAATATTTGGTCATGGACCTCTATATGCTGAAACACTATGTAAATAATATTTGAACAAGAGAATGGACAATTTTTTAAGATTAAGGTTGCATATATTAAGCTCTTTTTAACAGTTGAGCATTTGGATGGGATTCATTGTGTGGTAAATACAGTACAAAGTCCGAAATCCGGGCTCGTCTGGACTTCGGCGATTCCGGATTTGGGATTTTATGGATATTTGATCATCAGTTTAAATAAATCAGTTTTAATCTAGTAAGACAGCACGTAGAAATTATAAAATTAAAAGTATGAAATCATGATTTATAAAATAATGAAGTAGTTATATGATCTAAAGGGAATTAAAAAAATAATAATAATGAAAAAAAGAAGCTTAATATATATTTGTTTACCTTATTAAACATTTCTTTCAATGTAAGTTGTTTTTAAGCTGCTTCATTTTTTTCTTTTTTTTCTGCTAATACTTTCTCTTTCTCTTTAATTCTGTAACAGACCAAAATCTCTTGTAGAGTTATGTTGTTGAAGTCCTGTGACTGCTGTTTCCAGAATTTCGACTAATTTGTCAATTGAAATTTGCTCGTTTTGAGTAACTTCTCTGTCACTTTCTTCACTATCGGTAGCAGTATTTTCTGAATCTAGAACTATACTACAGATTTTGCAATTCATTAATTGACTGATGATTGAGAAGCATTTTCATCAAAATGAAAAACTTTTATATCATCTTCATTTATTTCCGCTTCTCCACATTTCTTTACAAAATCCGTTAATTGCAAAATTTCACCTTTGTTTTGCGATATCCGAACCTTTAAAATTAGCAGCTATCATCATCAAATTTAGCTATCCTTCACTATACATATTTGGCTATGAATCATGAGCTTGGCGACTAATGACAAGTTGTTCCGTTAAATTTTATCTTGCTTCTATCGCGCACTAAGACAGTTAAGTCTGAATTTTATTAGTTTAGTTGTTTATTATACTTATGTCTATTTCTTGCACATGCATAAGGCTTATCAGAGTTCTGAATAAATAAACTCCGACATATACTTAAGCCTTATTGAGAGCCGGCACTAGTTATCTTATCGACTGAAGCAGTCTCTGTGGGTCCTAAATTCTGCGACTCGTTGCGATCATTCAAGCACTGGCGCTGGTTCTGGGTTTATGCGAATAACAAATCAGCTATTCATAATTCAAATAGCCCTAAATATAATCTTTGGGTCTATGAGTATTATCAGCAAAATCTATTTTTAGCATATGGAAATAAATTTTTAGTAAATTTTTCCTCGTCAACATTTTTCAGCGCATTTAACATAAATATGTAATCATCGCGAAGCGTAATGTGAACATAAAAGGTTACCATATTCCTTTATTATTCCATTACTAACATAAAAATATTGTTTAGGCATCGCTACATGAGTCATTACTCAAGTTGTCATGTTTTGATAAACATGCGGTGATGAAAGGAAAGTATAATAAGTAATGATTCACCGGGTTGGCGTCAGATCAATGATGTATGTATGGGGAATGTTTCGCTTTGAGATGTATGCAGCAATGGAGCCAAATTTCTGATCGTACAAATTTAAGCTAAAATGATTGTTTTTTTCAATAACAAGGTATTTTATTTAGTGTCGAAGTGAAATTAAGGATCGGGACTTTCCAGATGTTTTATTATGCACGGAGGGGGGAATCAAATGCTAATTCATAAAAAAACGTTGTTGTTGGTTTTGAGGTTTGGATTTTAGATTATTCCGAATGATGGAAGTACGGATTTCGGACTTTGCACTGTATAGAGTATTTGTAGACTTTATTTTGCAGTGTAAATCTTATATTAGCATTACATAATGTGTTTAGTATTTTTTGGTTAACTATGGCATCAAGCATTTAATGTTGGCATAAAATTTAACTGCTGATAGGAATGGTAAGCATATACAGTACAAAGTCCGTAATCCGGACATCCATTATCCAGAATGATCTATAATCCGGACCTCAAAGCAGGGTTCGTAGCCGTCCTTACAAGTGCTTATAAGTCCTTATATTTGAAAATAAAATATAAGGGCCCTTATAGGTGCTTACTTTTTCTTTAAAGCCCTTATTTTTTTTTGTTTTTAGTGCTTATTTTTTTCTTTTAGTGCTTTTTTTTAATGAACGCGCTTTTTTTAATGAACGTGCATTTTTCCTCCCGTACCAAAGCCGAAACTAAATAAACAACTTTTCTTCCTTATATGGAACGTCAGAATGGTGAATCATACTCCCGGAAATAGCTTCCCCCCCTTCCCTTCCCCCCCCCCCCTCTCTCTGCATTAACGTAACCTATGGTGCGCGCGAGAGTATAGACAGGTGCACGTCGTTCTTTTGGTCAAAGAATTGCGAAAACCATAGAAAATTTCCGGTAATTCGGTATTCTTTTCCTGCCCACCCAAATACTACAAACGTTTGAATTTCTATCAAGATTTTAATAATTTGCATTCTCGTTCCGTGTGGTCAGTTTCATAATCGTGTTTATTATGATCGTTATGCTTATATTATGAGCATATGTATGAATATTTATAGTAATATAGTTGCAGTAGCTCCTGAAGTGTAGATAAACTTCCAAAAATGGGTGTATTTTCACACAGATTAGCTTTCTATTCCTTTCTAAAGGAATAATGTGCAGAATGGCTTAAATAAAAGGAAAGTAATCGAATAGTCAGAATATTCCCTCCCCCCCCCCCCAATACATTATACAGTACGGAGGTTGGGAGGTTCTCCCCTTTCTCCGCAAAATCTCTAGTATTGAAGCAGTGGACTTTTTTTTTTTTTTTTTTTTTTGTCACTGTCTAATCTGGATTGAATAGGACTAAAAGTTTTGCGATCTACCCAACCCAAGCAAAGAACGAAAATTGCGGAAATTTAACGCAATCTGTTCAAAATTAGAATCAAAAACACCCCAGATTAATAAGTCTTTTTTTCCTTTATTTAGTTCTTTATTCTCTGAATACCGGCAGTTGTTGATTCCAATTGCGTAATATCACATAGGGAAGAATTACGCCGCACGTATTGCGCAATGTTGTTTGCGATATTTTGCAGATATAATTAATTTTGATGTTCATTCTGAGATTCATTTATGAACACTTAAAAGAGTTTTACTGACTTGTGCTTTCTAAGCAGAATATTTCTCAGTTCCGTTGGTCTATTTTTATATGATGCACATATCGAAATGTCAAAATCATTTATTTAGCCGAGAAATCTAAAGAATGGCTACAATCTCCCCCCCTCCTCTTTTTCCAGTTACGCCCGACTATACGGAATATTCGGCAATTTCCGAGTATGCGGGTTAGTTAAGCTTTTACTGTTTAAGGATGACTGCATGAAGCAATTTCCCGTCTCCTGATTTCAGAAATGTTCCTCTTTTTTACTTAAATTACTTTGCTTGGAATATATGTTAAGGGAAAACTGTTATGCAATGAAAATTTAGAAAATGTTCCAAATTTTGATTTAAATTATTTAAATATTAATATGAGTGGGAAAATAAATTGTATTTATTATTAGATGCCAAGCGAATACAATTAATATGGCTTATTATTATTTATTTTCTACATTTTGAACTGAAATTTCATCATTAAATCTTGTAATATAGTTTAGTTCTGCATATTCTTTTTTTTCTCTCATTGTAAACTAATTCTGTAAATTGAACTGTCATTTAAAATTTAAAAAAAAAAAAAAAAAAAAAAAAAAAAAATTGTTTTTTATGGTTGAGGTAATGCTCATTCTCTTGATAAATATTGCATTGCTCATATTTTAAATTGCAAGTCTAATTTTTCTTTTAAGGTTATGCAGTTGTGTATAATGTAATTAGATGGGTGCTTATTTTTTTTCTTAAAATGTGCTTGAAAAGTGCTTATAGGTGCTTATTTTTTTAACTAAAATGTGGCTATGAACCCTGTCAAAGCCAACTTACACATGCGTGTAATGCGTTTACACATGTGCGTAATGGGTTTATATATGCGTGTTTGATGCGCGCATTCGCTATGCATGCGCGTAAAGCCAGCAAAGCGTTTACACATACGCACTTCCGATAGTGAAGAAAGTGACAGAGACTTATTGAAACGAAAGAATTTCGATTGACAAGTTAGTCAGTATTCTCGACATGGCAATTACAGGACTTGAACTGTGGAACTTTGTAACTGAACAAGAAATTATGTTTGTTTATAGAATTAAAGAGAAAGTATTAGCACAAAAAATGAAGCAACTTAAACAACTTATATTGAAAGAAATATTTAATAAAGTTAATTTTTTTTTTTTTTTTGTAAATTTTGATACCCTTTAGATCATAATTTCTCTTTATCTCATAAATTACGGTTTCATATTTTTAATTGTATAATTTCTGCTTGTCATCTTACCAGATTTAAATTGATGATCTATAATCTGAAAAAACCGCTAGTCCGGAATCGCCGAAGTCCCGACAAAGTCCGGATTACGGACTTTGTACTGTATAAACAACTTCAGGAAAAGAATGGCTATTTTATCAAATACATGAAAAAAATGCCAAAAACAGAAACAGCAATACCTGTCATTATTCCAACTGCTAGGCATGCAGTAATTGATTCCTAGTTGCAGTTGATGGAATTCTTCTAATGTGTTCTCTTGAGATTTGAACTAAAGAAAGAAATTCTAGCTGTCAAAAGAAATGCATGTGCTTTTGAATCAGCACCTAGTGTAGTAGTATAGCTCTCTAAACTTTTATTTTTGCAAAATGATCTTTTGTCATAGTGCTATTTTGGTGTTTCAGTAGTATTAAAATTGTTTGTGGTTTTCCAACCATTTTCACTGTGTCTGATATTGTTTAGAAGACTTTAATAGGATCTACTCGTGGTTTGGCAATGGCCAAATTGTGTAATCCATATTGATGCTTCCTTTAAACTGCCAATTGGCCAGTGGTTTATTTGTGAAATCTGGAATTGCCCACAACTGCCATGAGAAAGGTATTTTCATGATTTCAGTACCAGAGTGGTCCTTGTACTTAATGTTACTTGATGATGTTAAAATAACACCCAGATTCTTTTTCTTTTTATACCTTAATTTCTTAAATATATTTCAAGATGTTTGTTTGTTTGCAAGATGCCTGCATTGTTTTTATTTTTAATTCTTTTTATGCACTGCAAGAAATTTTGAACCATCTCATTCTTTTTAACTTTGTCTTGACTATCATCTTAATGTCCATGTCATCTAAAATCATTTGCACAGAAGATGAAAATAACAAGTATTATTTTGACATCATCTTTGGTTGGGTAAGGACTTAAAACTGTGTGACTCAATGAAATGTTTAGACATTGAGTAAAAATTTAAATTGCTGGTTTTTACTTTAATCATGACTTTTTTCTAAAATATATTTCTGCTAATTGACAGATGAATTATAATTATTTTAAGCATGTCATTATTATTTTTGCAGTGAAAGAAGAACCTGTAAATAATTCTTTGGAGTGTGATAGTTCTGCTGTTGAAGGTAAATTAATTGCATTTTAAAACTGTGTTGCATATAAAGATGTTCAGCATTTGCTAGCTCATTTAAGATGATATTGTTTTCCATTATTTTTGTACGTTAAAGAAATATCAACTTTTCTTTTTATAAAAATTAACTACCCCCAACTGGTTTCTCCTGTTCCTGGGCTGTGGAGTTGGAATTGGAGTTAGGTAGATTTTGGGGTAAAAGGAGTCTGAGCTGGAGTCACTAAAAAGAGCTTGACTTCGACTCCAGTTTTTGTTGGACAATTGGACACGAGTTTGAAATTAAATTAAAGTGAATTGAAAAAAAAATTAATGACAAGCTGAGTTATTTTTTAATTTTTGGACTACATTAATAAATAGTTATTTTCTATTTCATTGACATATTAATAAATAAATATAAGGGAGGAGGATAGATGTGATATTTGCCATTAGTGATTAAACTGATTTATTAGTTACTTCATTTAGTTACAAATCTCACTGGTAAATTTAGGTAAGCAGGAATAGTAGCAGCAAAGAACTTTCAAAATTGATGCCATTCATAGGAAGTGAGCAGGAAAAGGAGCAATTATGGTCCAGCAATGCTATGGGGAAGTACATATTTGATGATATAGAGGTTGTTAGAATTCAGAACATTTTTAGAAGATATAGATAATTCTTCACTAACAGAAATACTACTGTGGAATGATCTTACAGAATTGGAAACTCTTCTTTCTACACTATATATAGCCACAAAAAAAGCTACAATATGAAATATTAACAGGAGGTGAGAATGGAAGAATGTGATGTTTGTACTTCCTGAAATGGAGGGTTTTATTGCAGAAGGAATCACTTCTTCAATGAAGAAAAGAGAAACTAGTTTTGCTAGAGAATGAGATCTTGCTGGGTTCAATATATGTAGATCCAAAACACCAAATTTCGTTTGATGATGAACAAATTAAGAAGGCAAAGAAATCCATCTATGAACTTTCAATAAGAATTAAATAAGTTAGTTTCAGAACAATTAGAATATTTAAATCGGGAAAGTCAAACTGCAGACATTACAACTGAGTCTCTTATCATCCTCTTTCAGGATGAATTAGATTTTGAGAAATAATTTTGGATCATATTGAAAAGGCTAAGGCAAAGTGAATGAAAATAAAGAACCAATAGCATTTACCGTAATTTTCGGAAGAAATGCTGCAGCGTTTACGTGTTTAAAACTTAAATTTTCAGCGGGTGCGGCGTTTAGGTGCACTAAAAATAAAATATTTCCTATGATGGTCATTGTACATAGTTTGGATGGCCTTGTCATTGTGCATAGATTGGTGTGCTGTTCCCACACAAAGACCACTCAGTTGCTTTTTGCGAACGTTATTTTTGTTTACGTTCTTTCCTTGAACGGACTACAATGCCTTATTCACCCTAAACGAGATCTCAGAACAATACATTCTTCCCCCTTTCAAATCAACATTCTCATCAGTTTGAATAGTCCCTCTCCTCTGCCATTCGATGAATCTTCCAGGACCCATCCTCTTTCCACCCCTGCCTTTTCTGCAATTTTTTTTCAAAGGCGGATGCGACTCCACCTGCCTCGCAATAACGAACTCTGAAGTATTTCCCCCCTTCAGCATGAATGGATTTTTCTTGGCATTCTGCCAAGTACAGATCCATCAGTTAGGGTACAAGTACTTGTTGGATAGTTTTTTAATTAGGGAACGGAAAATTTTGAAAATGTCTCTAAACGGCACAGAAGCCTATGCATTTCTTACCTTTAATTTATTTTTGAGTTATGGTTTCATTTCCATGCATTTTTTCTTAACTGGTATGTCTGAGTTTTTGCATCTATACGGCCCATGACGATGTCACGCGCAATTAAATCTATTGCGGCGTTTCTGTGTGATTTTAATTTTTTTTTCCCGCCATTTTTTCTCGAGTGCGGCATTTACGCTGATGCGGCCTTTCTTCCGGAAATTACGGTAGATATAAAAATGAAAAAATACAAACAAGATTTCTACAGGGCCTTTTGAAGAAATAGAGAAATATGAAATTTGAGCTTGCAAGACCACTCTTTTAGAACTTATAAAAATCTATCCTGAAAAGTTAAAAGAAGTAGCCCTAACAGTACATCTCTTCCTCCTACTTCAGTCAGAGTGAGAAGACTCACTCTGACTGAAGTCTGAAGTTTATCAAATTGGATCTATGGCCCTCCAACAAAGATCTTGCCGAAGCTATACTGTTCTTTCTTAGAAATAACTAATGCCAGTTTTTCCATTTCATAATAAATGCTAATTTAATATAAATAATTGCTATGCCATATTTTTTTTTGTAGCATCCATTACTTCTTTTATATTAGAGAAATAAGTTGTAGCCCATGTGTATATGTTTACACACACATATATATGTATGAAGGAGTCTTTAAAATTCCAGGAGTTGGAGTCGGTCATTTTCCCTAGCGACTCCACAGCCCTGGTTTGAAGCAGTTGCACATTTCCTTTGTTTATCGAAACATTCAGTGATTTGCCATTAAGACCAGTGTGTTTTAACGTATTTGTCAGTAAACATTCTGCAGCTATATCAAAAGTATAAGAAATGTGTAAATTTTTGCACGTTATACTTACATTTATGATATAACTACAGAATATTTACCATGTTGCTAACATGGTAAACTACAATATTTCAGAGTCCTAACTATTTGAAAGATTAATTTTTAAGCAATATTTCATTCTAAATGGAATGCTAATACCTTTGTTGTGCTCAGAACAAGTTCTAACTTAAATGAAATAGTTTCCCAAATTTTTGTTAATTACATTAGAAATTTTTATTTGGTTCACAATTACAAATATTTAAATCAAAGTTTTATGGTATTGTTAATATTAAAGTCACGCATAATATCTTTTCTCTTTACGGAGTCTCTGTATTTTCTGTTTCAGAGTCTCTATTACAGAGTTCTCAAGTATGAGTTCCCCCCCCCTCTGAAATTTATGAGATTTATGTAATCTATTAGAGCTAAGGGAGGAGGATGGGGAAGTTTTTCCCCCAAGACTTGAAGCTGAATTTTTAATACTTTTTAAAATGTTGTCCTTGTATTCAACAATAGGCATTCAAAAAATTTTACTTAACAATTGTTATAAGTGTGTGTAGCATCTCACATTCTGTGCTTTCCATAACCTTTTTAGACTGTTTTCCAGGACAATACTTCCTGCTTAAACAATTTATAAATATATATATGGCAGTGATACTTTTAATTTTTTTTACTATTAAATGTTAGTCATTACATAGTATATATTTAATAAATAGATTTCTTGATATTAAAAAATATATAGTTTATGAATGAATAGATCATTCATTTTTCTGATACATTTATAATTAATATTTACATAGCTAATTAAAGAAAATATGTGTTTCTTAGAATGATGTGTGCATATAAATATTTATATATATTTAAAGAAATTTCTTTTTCGACACGTGGAAGATTTTATCATTTATGTATTCTCTGTGCTTTTCCAGTAAGGTAATTTGCAATCATTTAGCATATACCAGAATTTTTATCTAAGAAATATGTGTCATTTGAACAAAAATTATTTACATTAGTTTAATGTAATATTACAAAAATATACTTTTAATTTACTGTTCTTTAATTTTCTTGTCGTTAACCTCACCACTGACCAAGCAGTTAAATACTGCTGAATGCTGGTTGTTTGTCTTGCATTCAAACATGGGTGAATGGACTGTCTGCATGATTGATTTTTATTCATTTTCTTATGTGTCAAATGAATATGGATCTGTTTTTCTTAGAAAATCCTCCACTAAGGCTTCTCTCCTCTTAGGTGGATTTGGCCTTGTGTGTTTTGCCATACTCAAATAACCAAACCATCTTTTTGACTTTATGGATGCAGTTTGCTGTTAATGCCATTTTCATCTATTTAAATATTTAACCAAGTAATCCATTTTTCATAAACATTGGTAGATGCAATGCTTTCTTTATAGGCTATCATAGATGACCTTTTTATTTCCAAAGCA